TTTAGATATGCTTACTCAGCTTCACCGCTGAGCGTGTAGTGTGTTTTATTTGCTACATGCAGGTAAACAGAAAGATTAATGTGATCCTGGCGGTAGATGGGGCGAGATTGTCAGGATGGATGTGACAAGTTTTGAAATAATTTATGATATGTCAATATTAAATTCGCTTCCACAATATTGTTAAATACTCCGTACTGTATTTGTTATGAAAAATATTATTGAGATTAATAAAGTGTGTTTGAAAAGTTTTAAATTTTACGATTACCAAGTTAAATACTTTAGTCCGAATGGGGCTGCAGACCTGGACGGATTAGAGTGTTACATTTAGGTCAAGACCAAAAAAACCGACCAAACAAACCGTTAGGTCCAGGCGAACCCGGACCGAATGGATTTCGGGTCGGTCTTCGGTCCAGAAAATTTAGGCATTCGGGTTTCGGTCCAGTCCGGTCCAAACCCGAAATGATTTAGGTCCGAACTGATTGGACCTAATGACCCTAAAGGACTTAAAAGACCTAAATACTAAAACTCTACTTTTTAAGTTCCGTATTACACTGTGATGCTCTATTTTAATATATATTTTAATTTATTTAATTTAAAAGGTTTTTTTATTAAGTAATTTTTAAAAAATCTAAAAAAAAAACATTCATATTTGTTTTTATGGTTCTACATTGAAGTAGTTCATATTGTGTATCCATTTTAAGGTTACCTATTTTTTTTATTCATTTTCGATTTGAATGGTACAAAGTAAAAAGTCTAAAATATATTTAATTGATTAAAATAATTAAAAAAATATGTATATTTTTTAGTCCAATCGGTCCGGACCAGTTTGGTCCTAAATATTTCAGTCCGGTCCGGTCCAAACCCGAATAGATTTAGGTCCGGTCTTCTGTCCTTGAATTTACTCATTTCGGTCTTTGGTCCGGTCTTAGACCGATGAACAGCCCTAACTGCTTCTCCACACCCATAGCTAACTCTCAGAACAAGAATGAAGGGAAATGGTGAAAAAATGAGTAGGGTGAGTTTCTCCTTAAATAGCATGAAAAATGGGGAAGAAGCCATAGCAGAGCCGTGCGCCGATCAAAAATATCTTGTAGTGGGCTGGGCGGCGATCCTATGATATTTTATCTAATTTTGACTAATTTCATTCAATCGGAGTGTATTTTTTGTCCAGCTTTGTCCAAATTAAAATCTGATTACACCATTGCAATCAAATAATCAAGCTCTACGTAACTATTGAAATATGATTATACCATTGCGCTCCATTGTTTGCTATGTATTAATTTTAAATAGTTTTTTTGGTTTTGTACACTAATTTATTGGTATATTGAACAAAAAAATTAAAATGCACGTGATATAGAAATTGGTAATTATAGAAAAAAATAATTTTGAATTCAAAATGCTAAAAAACGATAATACTTGGGGGAATTCAAAAATAATTTTGAATTCAAATGCTATTTTGTGCTATTCCTTCATTTTCAACCATATTCAACTATTTTACTTTTAATCCATTTATTTCCTTCCTACCATCTCGTTTAAAACCATAGTAATTACAACAAATTTTGGGATTGAAAATAGGTAATTAACAATTTAGATTACTACATATCTTTAATTATTTTTTTGCTGTATATTAGTCCATATATTTTGGGATTGAAAATGTTAATTACTATAAGAATTTTATTTTGATAATATGATAATATGTTCTTTTCATTGCATAAGCTTGAATTGTAGAATATTGGATTTTATATACATAAATAATGGTGATGCTAAAAAATGCACATTTGATGATACTATTTTGGATATTCATTTTCTGAATATTCATTTTCAAGAAATAAGCCAAATACGGAGTAAAAACAAACAATTTTCAAGCTTTCCACCAAACACGAGAAAAGGAAAATGACCTCAAGAAAATTAGTCATTTTCTAGAAGTCATTTTTCACATGGTAGTTTCCCAATTTTCATACGGACCATAAGGATGGGACCCCATGCACTAAAGATCTAGGTCCGCTTCTCGGGCCACTATTCATTGCCAATGAAACTAAGCGTTTAGTGTTAATACAGGAGTAATATGTTAGTTTTGGACACATAATGGACTAAATTAAAAGTACAAGTTAAACCTTTTTCTTGAACAAAGTACTATTTTTATTCACCAAACTCCGAAATGCACACAAGCTAGAACACAAGTATTTCCCTACTACACATACTAAATACACATACTCTTGTTCATAATAGCTTGAATATGATATTCAACACTAGCCATAGTCACTTCCTCTTTGATCTCTTTGTGATGGAGAATGGCATTGCATGCTTGCCTTATTGTGTTGCAAATAACCACCCATGCTGCCAAAATTGTTCTTTTATATATGTCGGCTTCATCTTTATGATGCTTTCACCAATATCCTTTAGGTTTTCTGTAACACCCCGGCCTCTACCTTGGCCATAAGTGTCCGCTCATAGGAATGTAGATTGACCCCACAAACTAACACAAGTCTTTCCCGCGCACTTTGTCCTCACCTGTGCACGCCCAAGGAATTTCCCAGGGGGTCACCCATCCTAAAATTGTTTCAGGTCAAGCACGCTTAACTTTGGAGTTTCTAGGCAACGAGCTTTTGAAAAGAAGATGCACCTTGTTGGTGTGAATAGTATTATCAATCCTTTTGAGCTCTTCTCATTCCCATCTTAATACGGGGTATTACATTTTCTCCTTCAACCTTACATTTCAGCCATCCAAAAATTTTTGTGTATACTTTGAGAGTATAACTACATTTACAGAATAAGTAATCTATATCTTCTTCTTTTCTCTCACATAGTAAGCAGCTAGTATCAATGTCCATGAATTTTTTACGTAATTCCTAAAGTATCTTTTCCTCCTTTCTCTCTTTCACTTCTCCTTCTTGAGTCGTACGTAACGTGTGCCTCTTCTCCTCCTTCTCTCTCTCTTCCCTCCTCTTCCATGGTTGAAGCTTGAAGGAGCTCTAATCCTTCCCAATCCGATACGTAGTCGTATCAGAAGCATAGATAAACATTTTATTGATTGAATTCTCTTCCCTTACCGTTTTAGAATCAAAGAAAAGTTTAAACTTAATCCATGGGCTCATAATTCAAATAAAATCAAATGAAACGATAAGAATTCCCAACAAGGAATCAACAGAGAGAAGAAAGCAAAAAAAGAAATTAATTCTCTTGAAAATCAATTTGACACTATTTGAACAAGGTGTATAATTTAATTTCAATCTAAGTGTTAGACAATGCGTGCAACTCTAGAGGGGGGGGGTGAATAGAGTTGTTGAGAATGTTTACCGATTTTCGCAGGATTAATAAAATAAACGTAAGTGCAGCGGAAATAAAAGAGAGAAGGCAAAGAACACACCGATGTATACTGGTTCACCACCTCGTGGCTAGTCCAGTTCCCCGAGAGACTCTCTCGAAGCTACCACTACTTCCGTTAAGCTTACGGGTGCTTAACAAACCGTTTACAACTCGAGAACTTGAATCCCACAAGCCTCGAAACAACCGCTCGTAGATATGCCCTCTACAAGACTTCACAACCAAGACTTAAGTCACATAAGTCTTGAACAACAAGAAGAACAATCTTCTTCAACCTCACAACAATGACTCTCAAAAGAGTAGAAATGAGAAAAGATTAAGCTCTATGGATGACAAGAACACTCTCTTTAAAATATAATTTTCTCTCAAAATAATATAAATTTGAGGAATGATTGATGGAGGATTAACACCTCAAGAATGGGGAGTATTGAAGTGTTTCTGGTTCTTAAAAATGACCAAGGAAGTGTGTTTAAATAGGAGTTGAAAAAATATATCCGTTGGTCCAGGAAAAGAAGCTGTGCAAGAAAAGATGCAGCGCGTTAATCGATTAAGGCATCACCATAATCGATTAATGCATCATAAAAAATCGATTAAAGCATCTTCAAAAATCGATTAATGGAGTCTGCGAGGAAAAGGATAATCGATTAAAGGAAGATAAAAAATTGATTAGTCAGCTCTGCCAGCCTTAATCGATTAACAGAGGAGCAAAAATCGATTAGTGTTCCCGCCCAGGGTAATCCAACGATAAGCAGTTAATTGATTAATTTTGGAAGATTAATCGATTAATAAGGAAATAATGCGCAAACACAAAGGGCCCAAGGCCAGTTGCGATTGAGAGCGAATTGGCTCAAACTCATTGTTTGATTAGGGAGTGCTCCTCCTCTCTTATTCAATGAATTTGAATAAGGTAGTAAAAGTGAGTCAAAAAATTATTTTGTGTGTCAAATGATGTACACGAAAAATATTTGAATAAAATATTTTTGCTTACCAAAAATATTTTATAATATCAAAATAAATATTTGATAAATGTTTGACACACTTTTTGTAACTGGCTCAATAAAACTATTTTGAACAGTTAAAAAAAAATTTCAACTGACTCCAAAAATAAGTATAATTTTTATTTTGACTCTCATAAAAATAATTTTGGAGAGAAGATATTTTTGTAATCCTTATAATAATTCCTAAGACTCAAATAAATAAAAAGTCTTCGGAAATCTTCTACTCCTCCGAGTCCTCCGTTAGGCGCTCCGGACGCGTCTCGGACTTCAACAAAATCCTGTGCACCTTCTTGAATATTTCAAGGAATGGCACTTCAAGTCTTCGTATTTGTAATTGTAGCACTTTAATCTTGACTTGAATAAATTGTGTTTGTCAATTATCAAAACCTGTGAGTCAACACTAAACAACACAGAAAAGATTGAACTCATGCATTCCAACAATTTCTCCCTTTTTGATAATGACAAACACATGGAGGATATGCTAACAACACATAACAAAATATGCAGGGGCGGGTTAGGGGGGTAGGAACCGTCAATTTTGCGAACGGAGCACCGGAGGTGCCCCAAAATGCCAGTGGCACCGCTAGTGGCACCGTACTCTGGTGTTACTAGAACCCACCAATAGAATTATTAGTTTAAAAAAAGGGATGCTAGAGGTACACCAAAAGTATACCTACACCAAAAGTGTACCCCAAATGTACACCACCTATTTTTCTACCACTCATTTTTATTTATTTATTTTTTGGGAATCCAATTTATCCATTGGGAATCCTACAAACGGGTGGGTTGACTCAAAGCAGTGATCCATGGGCACCCAATCCCCATCTTCCCAACAATGGCCGCCATCTTAGCTGCTTCTCATCTTTCCCTTTTCAACACTCAGCTCCCCACTCTCTTCATCTCTGCGCCGCCGGTTTCTCTTTCCCTCCACCGTCTCCGCCGAAACCCTTCCATTTTCACCGCTGTTCGAGTCCAGCAACAGACGGACAAAGGATCAGCCCCGCCGGCGCCGGAGCAGCATCAATTCGACGACTATGCGGAGGATGAATCCTACGGCGAGGTTAACAGGATCATCGGTAGCCGGGCAGCCGAAGGCGGAAGAGGGATGGAATACCTGATCGAGTGGAAAGACGAACACCCTCCGACCTGGATCCCTTCCGATTTCATCGCCAAGGACGTCGTCTCGGAGTACGAGATCCCCTGGTGGACGGCCGTCAAAAAGGCCGACGAATCCTCCTTGCGGGAGCTCCTAAACGCCGGCGACGGCGAGAGGGACGCGGACGCAGTGGACGAGGACGGGCGCACGGCTCTACTCTTCGTCTCCGGGCTTGGATCCGAGGATTGCGTCAAACTGCTCGCCGAAGCAGGGGCGGACGTCAATTACAGAGACCCAAGCGGTGGCGGCTTGACGCCTCTGCACATGGCGGCAGGCTATGTCCGGCCAGGAACAGTGAAGATTCTGATCGAACTTGGAGCAGACCCCGAGGCTGAGGACGACAAGGGGCAGACCCCCCTAGACCTGGCAAGAACAATCCTGAAGAAGCTAACCCCAATGCAATTTGACCGAAGGTTAGGGTTGCATAGGGTGATTGGGGTTCTGGAAGATGCAATGTTTGAATTCGCGGAAGTGGAGGAGATAATGGAGAAGAGGGGGAAGGGGGAGAAGGCAGAGTACCTGGTGAAGTGGAAGGACAGAGAGGCAAACGAGTGGGTGAAACGCGCTGCTGTAGCTGATGATTTGGTGAGTGATTTTGAGGCGGGGGTGGAGTATGCAGTGGCAGAGAGGGTTTTGGAGAAGAGAATGGGAGAAGAGGGGAAGAAGAAGAAGAAGGTGGAGTATTTGGTGAAGTGGTCGGACATGGAAGAGGCAACTTGGGAGCCCGCAGAGAATGTGGATCCTGCATTGATTATCGAGTTCGAGAAGAAGGATCAGCAGTCATGAACCAACATTGACAAGCTATGTTGCACGGGTTGTTTCCGATACTCGAATTCTTTGTAAAATTTTGGGAACAAATATGGTGTTTTGGTGTTGATGAGCCTGTACCGGGCTCGGTGCAACTTGGATAACAGGTGTAATAGACAAGAATTTGAATAAACGTTGTTAAACGAGTTAGGAGGTGTGGAGTTCACACTTGTTCAATTATATGGATATGCGTTCGAAAATACCCCGAACTGCAAGCAATCCTTCGTAGAAACAGATGTTTTCGCGTGAACACTCATGTGTGGTCATTGTTTTTCATCTATATAAATATAGACATGTGTGATCTTGATTCAATATTTTATTCGCTTAAACAATTTCGGTATACTCTGAAATAATTTTAATCTGTGATTCATTATACTCTATCATGTTGTTCATCTCGTTCTTCATTCACACAAAATTGCACACTCTTAGTTCTTCGTCATGTTCTTCCAAAAAAGATTAGGAGACGTACAAACAATCAATTTTACGAATAAAATACTGCAAGTGTTCTAAGTGATTTGTTCTAAAAAAAGAGGCCAAATTAAGGAAGTGCGCATGCTTTAAACCATGTCTCACTTAAACTATTTTTTACATATTTTTTTAATCTGAGGGCTAATGGATGAGGTAAAAAGCTATATTTGTAATTACTATTCTCACGTGTTAAAGTGAATCATAGGTGCTGTATATATTTTATTGGTGTCATACAGTTTCTTGGTATCAATAATGGTGATGTGGAAGTAGATTCTTCTATAATGGGTGCCCAGCAAGAGGGGAAGAAAATGAAGGTTCCTCTAAATTCTAGGTAATTTTTCCTCTAACTGTTAATTGATAGAGAAGTCTTATCTTTACTTTGTATTACTATAAGGTTATAAGCTTTTCAGGGATGAAATTGGCTTTACTAAATTTTTTGAGCTCTAACAAGCATTTTTAGCTCTTAGGACTTCTTTATTATATGAACTCTTTGAGTATTTTCAATGATAAAGTTTAGGCTTGCAAGTTTCAGTCATGACTTTTACCCCTAAATATGCTTAGCCATGCATAGCACATAGTTACCTCTTGGTCTGGCTGAGCTAGTATGTCCTTGCAGTGACAAGCTATTCAAAGAGATACAGGATCAGAATTTCGAAGTTGTCGGTCAGGTTGATCTGTCATCTCAGTTCTGTTTTAAAAGTTTAGGCGATTTTGGACATCTTTTTCCATGTCATCTTCATAATGTTTCCTTTTCCATGTTCCGAATTTGCTTAATCGGTTTGTTCTTTTGTTTGTGGTCTTTTAATTGCCATTTACAGTGCAATTGCAGGTTTTACGTCAAAGAGCAACATCTATGAAACAAGATTACAATGAGATGCAAACAACTGTAAGTCCTTGTAATTGTTAAATGTGCATATATGCCTATGGCTTCAATACGTGATTAAAATTATACGTAGTATATAAATATTAGCATGCTTTAAAGAAACATACTTTTGTAGTCATTTATATCCCAGCAACAAGTTAATTAGCCCACTTAAAGTGGAATTAATAGAGAAGGCTTATCGCATAAAATGAAGACTGGGATGCAGACTCTTTGGTACTCTCATTTTTGCAGCTCCAAATCAACTAATTTAATAATTTATTTTAGGTTTTTACCTATGTTGTGTGTATCCTGTAGTGAATGACTGTGTGAGAGAGATTTTTGAATGAATATGTTATATTGTAAACCTTACATTTAATTGGTTGTGAATTTTATGCAGAACCAAACTGTTTCTGAATTGAAAGACTTCGTTAAAAAACTCAACTCATTGCCTGAAATGACAGTAAGTTCATTTATACTCTGGATTTGGTAACAGCCATTTGCAGTATTGAGAAAAAAGTGTGATACTAATATTTTTCTCTCATTTCCAGAGGCATATACATCTTGCTCAGCATTTGAATAAATTTACTTCTAAACCTTCATTTCTTGGGCGGCTAGATATGGAACATACTATTGTGGAGTCTGAAAGTTACGATATGTGAGTTAGTTGGAAAACTTATCTTATAATTGGTTTGAAAGGCCCTAAGTTTTGAAAGGGTCTCAAATTTAGGTTTATAGGTGTTCATGTTTTCTTAAACTATGTGTATAGATTCTTTAATTGATTATTGTTAAATGTTGACTGAGAGTAGCTCAGTATGGATAATGATGGGTAATATGTTTTTTTGTTGCTGTTTTAGTTGATCTTTTTTATGATAAATATAAGTTATCTCAACTAATAATAATTTTCTAATAAAATTATTGCCTGTAATCATTGGCTCATTGCAAGGATAGAGTACCACTTCAATCTTATTTATTAAGGAGTACAAGTCGATGCTTCAAATGATTGTGTTGGTGTGTGGGTGGGGCATAATCTAATGACAATGTCTACTAGAAATATGAATGTTGAAATGAGAAATGAAAATGCATAGAGTAGAGGAATTAGTTGAATTGCAGCATATACAATGTCACAGACACGGTTAGGAGAAGAAGACGTGAATGAAAACTATGAACATATAAAGCTACTTGCCCTTGGGAGAGTAAGGTTTCCTTCTTGCCCTTGGGGGAGTAAGGTTTCCTTCTTTCCCTTGGGGGAGTAAGGTTTCCTTCTTTTCCTTGGGAGAGGGAATTTGTGTTTGGTTTTACTATTGAACAGAACCCCTTCATTTATAGTTTTATACTAGTCCCAAGAATCTCAGTGAGCAAGTACTGGAGTCCTTACTGTTAAAATATTCATATTAGGAATATAATAAAAAGAATCCCAATATGAATATGAGATTATTGCTAATACTAATATTAGGAAATTAATACTAGTAATACTAATAATAGGAAATTTTACTAGTATTTATACTGTATAGAGCTTTACAAGTTACCACATCTTTGTGTCACCAATAAAATCTACTCTTGAAATGGATGTATGCACTTTTATCTCATTCGTTTATGCAAAAATGAAGAGTGCCCCCCTTATATTTCCTTTTTATCTCTTTTGTGCTACACTGCTATTAGAGATTCTGTGATTTTCTTGTCAAAGTACTTTTTCTTATATTTCTGCTACAGTTTGCATCTTTTGTTATGGAAGTGACCCCATTCTCTATTTTTTCTGAAGTTGGTTCATCTTTTTTTCCTGAAATAAATGGAACTAAAATTTTCTTTTTCCATGACAAGCATTTGAGTAATATGAAATATGTGACACTGTGATGACCAATACGAGGCATCCTTGTAAGCTCATCTAGTCGTCTGTATCATTTAACCCTAGTTTAATGCATCCAAAAACATTTGCAGCATTCTAGTCTTGCATTATTGCATAACAATAAAAGATAAAGTGAAATCTAATCCTGCATGTGATTCAGATGCTTCGAGTACATCGAGGAGATGATCCATAAACAGGAACCTCTTGTCAATGTTCTACGCATTCTCATATTATTTTCGATCACAAATTCTGGATTACCAAAGAAGAACTATGACTACTTAAGGTGAGTGGGATATAAATGTCATTTTCCTCTATTTCAAATTCTCTAATTGGTATGTTTGGATATTATTGAAAAATTCACAAATTTCTGTGTCTTGTCTTTTGTAGGCGAGAGCTACTTCACAGCTATGGTTTTGAGCACATTGCTACATTAAACAATTTGGAAAAGGTGGGATTGTTCAGGAAGCAGGTTTGTGGTACAATACTACGATGGTTGGTACATTGCTCTATTTGGTGTATTGTTCAGTTCCATAACATAGTGAATTTGGCATTTGGTCTTCGTCTTAGGAGTCAAAAAGCAACTGGATAACTATTAAACGTGCTCTTCAGCTCATTGTGGAGGACACTGACACTGCCAAGTATGTATTTCTCTTTGGGGAAGTCTACTCTAGCTTATCAACTTTTATCTAACTTCAGAAAATGTTGTGATCGCACATATGCTTTGCATTTTATGCCAGTGACTGTTGTTGGTTTTAGCCGCATGTAATTATTCTGCTTCTTTAAAGGCTCAACTAAAATAAACACTGCCACTCATAGTACTTATTAAGCTGAATAAATGTATTAAACTTCAGAAAATTTGTGAGGATTTACTATATGAAGCCTTAAGGGGTCTTCTATTCATCCTTGAAATTGTGTTGCATTTGCATCTTCTGTCTTCTTGTCAAAAAGGAATAAGCAAATCAATTGTGTTCATATTTGGAATGGAAGACATCGAAAGAATGAGTTTTTCCATTGAAAAAGCAGAATGTATTCAGCTAAGATTATTAAAGTCAAAATGAGCAATATGTTATTTCTGTATCTGATCTTTAAGGAGTTGACATGTCGTTAGTGTGTATCTATACTATCTAATAATGTTTTAATCTGACTATTGTACTATTCTCCGTATATAATTTACTCAGATGTTTACTTTGTATCTGATTCTGAACATTGTGTGCGTAATGCAGCCACAGAGATATTTCCTATGTCTTTTCTGGATATGCACCTCTCAGCATTCGCCTGGTTCAGCATGCAATCTGATCTGGGTGGTAATCTCTTTTTTTAAGAGCTCTGTTGGATAGTATTGACCATATTGCTGTATACTCCCTCCGTCCCGATGAGTTTGTCCACTTAACTTTTGGAACAAATATCAAGAAGTGGGACAAGGGAGTGGAAAGGGACTAAAATGCCCTTATGGGCTACGATTAGAGCAAGAAGGGAAAAACAAAAAAAGACATACGCAGACATGATTGAATGCTGCCAAACTTTTACTTAATTTTTTAAACAATAAATTTTCATTCTTTAACTTATTTATGTTGTTTTAAATTGTGAATCAAACTTCCCCTAAAAGAATTGTGAATCAAACTGTTTTTACAAATTTAGACATAAAATGACAAAAAAAAGAAAAAAATCTTGTGATGCTTAAAAAACCTAAGCATTTCATATTTTGAGAACAAAGTTTTAGATCCACCGCCATCGGAAGACTTTTCGACGAATTCAACTCATCCGACTCAGGCATAGATCTGTCGTAGAGGGCGACAGGTCGGAATTAGCCAGTGTCGTCCCACTCGTGCAAGTTTAGATTGGGGGAGGGCAGATTGGTTTTTTCTTGAGAGGGCGTTCCTGACGAGTCACCGAGTTGAATTGAGTCTGCTACGAGAACGGGACCGAGTTAGGCATGGCCGGATGCTGCAGAGTTTTCCCGGCGGCATCGTTGATTTTCCCGTTCAAGGCACCTACGATCCGTTTCTTGTTGATGAGAGAGAATGAGATCTAGAATGGAGAAGGAGCTTTGCCAAACATATACGGAGTAAGATGAGGCACAGTAAATGATGGGTGGATGGGAAGATGAGGATGTTAATGGAGGAAGTGATTTTATTGGCATGAAGGGTAAAATAGACTTTTGAATAAGTTTTTCTTACCAAATTAAGTAAGTGGACAAAAATAGTGGGTAGGCCCGAAAAGGAAAAGTGGACAAACTCATTGGGACGGAGGGAGTATAATTTTGTAATTACTGTAATTGAATTAATGTTAGTGATTTTTTCTTATTTTAATTTGCACTATAATCTTATATCCGTCAATGGAGTGTAAAGAGTCATTTTTGACAATGTTTTAGCTTTGAGTAAAGAATGGATTAAATCAAAATGACACATTAAACTTCTCTTGCTTCTTACTTTCTATGAAGTTTTGGGCAGTAAATGCATCAATGCATCAAGGGTCTAACGGAAACAATCTCTCTGTTTTTTCCAGAGGTAAGGTGAGTACATCTCCCCCAGACCCCAATGGAGATGGGATTATAGTCTTATACTGGCTTGTTGTTGATGTTTTTTTTTTGTTGTACTATCTTATATCTACATAAATGATTTCTATCTACAACTGATTGTATTTTGTGAAAGTGGAACATACTTGGGACTTGGGAACTAAAATGAGCTTGTACCATTAATGTATGTGACATTTACTTTTCTTGAAGGAGAACCAATCTAATCATGTATGAAGTACTTCTGTACAAAATTTTTATATGCATTCTTTTTTTTAATTTAGTTGGGGGTAAAAGCAATGTGCCATGAACCTTCTACTAGTCCAGTACTCCTAGAATTTACCGTGTTGATCAATCTCAGTTTCATTATCATAGCTTTTATCTAATTTCATGGAAAGTATCATGAGATGATGAGATGACAATGAGTTTAAATAATTCTTACAGTCATGCATATACCTAAGAAGGTAAACCGATTATACATATAAATGTTACAGGCGTCCCATTGAAGAAATATTAAGACTGCTGCCAGGGCCTCATTCAGACAGCAAGAGGGTAAGCCTTCATACCTTCATTTTTCAATTCATATAGCGAGACCACATAGAAGTCCGAAATGTATTTGCATGAATCTTTACAGAGTGGGTATGCAAGCAATCCGTCCTTTGACAGTCTGCCAGGGTCCATAGACTACTCTGACAAGTAAGGCTCAAGCAATGTTCTGACCTTGTGTACATATTTTATGCATGTACTAATTAATTAATATCTCCTACTCCGTAGAAGTATAGTGTGTTCCATGTGCCTTTATTTCGGGCACAAACCTAGAGCTTCTAAACACAGACGGAAAGCAACATTAATTTGCACTCAAAGTAAGATAAGGAGAAGAAAAGATGCTCATAAAACCTAATAGTTGGATTTTCCTTAAATAGCTATCTTGAGTATTGCATAGTACTGTTATTAATTTTAGTTAATGCATTGCGTTTCCTTCTGTTTCATCTGAGTCAAGGCCCGGTTCTTGGTCCTTCTTCCTCTAAGATGTATTGCATTTCACCTGTTGGTATTTCAGAATAGGTGATGGAAGGCGGTCATTGGTGCTTGTTGTTTTTATTGGTGGGGTGACCTTTGCGGAGATCAATGCTCTTTGGTTCCTGAGTTCCCAGGTAGTCTTTTCTAATTCTTCATTAATCAAAATGAATCTCTGCATTATTAGTGGTGGCTCTAGCCTCCATAATCCTTGATAGAGAATGCATTAATTTTACCCTATATATGCACTCAATGGGTTACTTCTACCATACGCAACATGAGTGCTCTTTCGATAAATCAGTTACTATTATTTCATTAAACCAGATGAAGCTTTTGCTTTTAGTAGGGTTACATTGGTCAATTTCCTAATGCGTTGATGCATGTGCAGGAGGGGATGCCATATGATTTGATTGCATTGACTACAAAAATAGTGAACGGGCACACACTGACAGAAACATTCATGGAGAAATTGGGGTGACTGGTAAAGAAGAGACTTTTTAGTGTGGCTTCTTCTTTGTTGTTTTGATGACATTGTTGTTTTTGGTATGACCTTTCTTGCAAACATTTTGTCTGGAGTGTGATTGACTTTAAAAAGGCAGGGTTGATAAAAAATGACCTTGATTGAGTTGTAAGGGAGAACTTCAGTTGGTGCACAAAAAAAAGACCTTGGTAGATCTTTTTTTAAAAAATGGTTTATGTAACCAGCAGGGCCGGCCCCGGAAAATGAAAAAATAAAATTGGTCCGGTCCAAAATTTACATTTTGGGTCATATTTTATTTTTTTCAGAATACTTATGCTTTAAAATTAATGTCGAATTTAAAAATATGGGCCTTAAAATTTTAGAGACTATGCGGTAGGCCATTTTGCACAGCCTCTGACCCACCCATGGTAACCATATCTCTTAAATTAGGGTTAGGGTGATATTGTGTCGAGAGTTAGAATTACAATACTTCAAAGATACAGTTGAAGTAAAAGGTGGATTTGCAAAGGGTAGCACTCTCGAAGTCTAAGGGCCTCTTTGGCTGTGAGGGAGGGGAAGGGAATGAAAAGATGGGAGGGAGTGAGAAGGAATGGGACGGCTTACTTTCACCTTGTTTGGTAGGAAGAGGGGAAGAAAAACATTACTGATTTGTTTTTTGTTTTTTATATATAGGCTTTTATTTTCCATTATATTATTTATTTACTCTCTCCGTCTGAATTTAGATTGTCTATTCTTATTTACAAGATTTGACCAAAGTTATTTTCAATCCAATTTATTTGAAAATTTTTATGGAATTAAAAAATAAAAATTACTCCATATTAAAAAATTATATTTTTTTAAAAAGTTTTACAACATCAACGGTAACAATACTATATTATTTTCTCAAATGGGTAATGAAAATGGTTCAAATGGGTAATGAAAATGGTTAAAAAAAGATGTTTATGTTTGATGCTATGAATAATAAACATATAACTTGAATTGGGATAGAGGGAATACTCCCTTCGTCCCAAATTATAATGCATGTTTACTATTCACACGGTTAAATTTCATTCACTTTCTTTCTTTATTTTCGTTAGCAATTTGATAAAATAAAATATTATTGTCACTACTAGTTTTGTAGATCTTTTGATGTAGTATTTTGATATGTAATTTTTATTTTTTAACTCGATACCATTTGTCATATATAATGATTTAAAAATAACTTGAGTCAAACATCGTAAACCGAAACAAGCGTTATAAAATGGGACGGAGGGAGTATTATTTAGTTCAAGTATTTTTATTTTTACTAATTTCATTTATTTATTTATTTATAACAAGATGTAGAGAACATTAATGAAAGAACATGAAGAAGAGTGGAGGGAATGAGAAATCTTTCAATTTGGAGGGGAGGGATTTGAAGCTAAAATTTTGGATCCCTCCCCTCCATTTTTTAAACCAAAGTTCCCCTCTCCTCTCCCTCCTTCCAAGTTTCAACCAAACAGACCCTAACGATGAGAAACTCTTTGCAAAACTGCTACGTATAAGAGTTGACACTTATGCTCATGAGATTATTAGAGCACGAAGAATGTTTTATAAATATTTCTTTGCAAAACCATGTCTCACTTAAACTTTTGACATTCTATAAATATAATTTTATTTATTTTAAATGAATATTTTTTCACTCTAAGATATACGGAGTATATTTTTTTAAATAAAAAGTATATTTTAAATATTGATGTGAATGCACTAAAAATTCTATAACTATTTTATTTAAAAAAATACTCCCTCCGTCCCGAAAACATAGGAGTTTTCATTTTGAATAGGGATTTAAGGAGAGTATATTTTGGTATTGAATTTTCAAAAATATCTTTTGATGTGATGGGTAAAAGTATGATTTGATAGATAGATTATTAGTAAAAAGGTATGATGTGATCGGTAGGGTATGAAAAAGTAAGGGGTAAAAGTGACTTTTTAATAGAAATGAGAAGTGTTTTTTGGGACGGATGAAAAAAGAAAGGATAAAGGTTTTCAGAGACGGAGGGAGTATTACATTAAATAAAACATAAAAATGCAAAAAAAAAATTAATATCTTTGGAGGTGAAATGTTTTTTCATTTTTTAAAAGTGAAATATTTTTAAATTAATAATTGAGAGTCTTATACATATTCTTTTTAAAATTTTGCAATCAATATGCATGTTTAAAATACGGAGTATATTTTACAATAGTGAAATATACATTTATAGAGTCGTTAGAAAATGTTAAAGTTTATACAAAATATAATCAAAATAATATTTATTTAATATAATACAATAAAATATATTAAAAGATTTTTTAAAAAAAGCTTAAAGAACCAATGAAATTCTTCTATCTCATAAATAGTGTACATGTGGATGCACATGTGGGAACACCACAACCAAGAAACTCAACTTTACATATATACTAGTATTTATACCCGTGCGATGCACGGGGTCGACGGAATTTTTGTTGATTCTGAATTTTTTTTAATGCAATATATTTTCCGGATCAAGTAAATATATTTCTAACACGATTTTTTATCATTGGACAAAAACACCAAGGTAGAATAAATAATATTTGAGGAATTGAAAATATACTCAAAAATGTCTTTTTTAATTCCAAACATGTTGGCATGAAGAATAAGAAATTAAGTACTATTCACCTCATGGAATAAAGGATAAGACAAATTCATTTACCATTCAACAACCTCGAGCACGGGTGTCAATAGTGCACTATCTTTAAAAAATATAATAGTTTTTATGTTCTCGAATAGGTTCAAATAAGTGAAGTTCACTATACTTTTGAGGAATAACTTGTGTTAAGAATCAAGATCTTTAACTATTAGAGCACCAACTTCATGTATTGTGGAGATATTATAATTTCTTGAGTCTCTAGTTTTACTTGTCAACAACATCAATGATACATTGAAAGTAGGCTCATTATATATGAAGTCATACTTTTCAACAGCCTCAATGATACATTAGAAGTAGGCTCATTATCCATGAAGTCTTTAGTTCTTTTAAATATCTGTGTTAAAACATTATGCTCATCTACCATATTTTTCAAATCTTTGACCAAACTTTTATCAGTAGTCAAAGAATTATTCTTTCTACTGTGCGAAACAAATAGAACAATTTGTTTTTATTAGCATGTTAATAATGTTCCATGTGTATTATATTGTCAAACACATGTAAATAATATTTTTATTAAAAGGGTGTACTCAATAAAGTATTCGAGATACCTAAAATGAGTTATTTGTTTTCATATCTCGTTCTGTATACCATAAATATACAACTGTGTAAATTTTGGCCTTTCACCATATTGTAACATTAAACATGGTATGTGATGATGAATGTGTTCGCTGAGAGTACATTATTGCTCAACCATTATTGTGAGATGTATCAATATTTCTATTTATAAATGTTAATGAAAAGATACAGTTGCATTTATTTAAATTTTTCATGGTAATGAGAACTCTTCACACCAAAACCATAAAATAAATTATAGAGCAAATCCGATGGTTTTCTTTAGAAGAGACAATTAAACTTTTTCTTTTATGCAATAAATTGAAAACTTTAGATGTTTTGAATCTTTATTCATTTGATTCTTTCTTCATAGTTCATGTCATAACAAAGTTTCCCGAAACTCACACATAAATGCAAGATTCCCAAAATAGATTGTCTCTGAAGGAAAAATAAAATATGATGTAGGCAGTCTTTTATATATATTTTGTTACATTGTTTATAATATTTTATACAAAAAGACAATAGTTGTATTATCATATTCAAAGAAATTAGCAGAATGGGTTTAAACATAAATCAATTCTCTTCTGTTTATTATGCACTAAGCGCGATGAAGCGTGTGTATAATTGTTTCGTGGTTGGAAAATTATAGATGATTTTTTGGGAAATATGTACTGGAACGTGTTTGCAAAGTACATTCTTTCTCGAACGTGTTCGATGATACGAGTTTATAGCCGATGATGATCCATCTCCTTCTGTATTTTTAATAAGCATAATAAAATAAATATTATATTTTTTTATCTAAAAACTTTAAATATATATTTTTTATCCACTAATATTTGTTACATTGATGTTGATGGTTCAATAAATAAATAAGAAAGAATATTACTTACTTATATTATTTTGACATAGATGTCAAAATAATTAGCACACTTTATATTTTTTAAGAATTAAATATAAAATTAATTACATTTATAACAATTAATATTATACCATAAATATTTCGATTAGGAACACCAATTAATATTTAATTTCTTACACATAAATACTCACTTATCAAGTCTTGATCATTTTACAAAGTTATAAATGGAAATGATAATTTTTGTTACATGTAAATTTTTACAAAGCTATAGATGGTAAAAATAATTTTAAAATGGAAAATACTAATTTTAAAATGGAATATACTTTTTATTTGATTTAGAATTTTTTATATATACGGAATAAAATTAATGCTCTATTAAATAAGCGTGCCCATAAAAATACATTTCCTATTATATATTTGTTTCTTATTTTTAAATAATTAGAAAATCTCTCCAATTCGTATTAATTCAAAGCAAAAAAATCAAATGTAATTTCGTTTAGTCCTACCAATCTATCCGTTCTTAAAGTAAATTTATTTTTTTGATTATAGTTTTTGAATAGGTGTTTTTTTAAAATTTCAAAATATACTATTTAATTTAAATATTTTCCAATTATGAATGAAAATATAAAAGTTTTTAAACGCAATTATATGGAGAAATTTGTGTGTAACAAATATGAAATTTAATTTCCGCATAATAAGTTTTTTTGTTAACTATTTTTTAAACATTATTTGCTAACATGGCATGCTGATATGTTAAAAAAATTGTCTAATAAGCACGTCACATGTCACAATTCTAGAAGCCCAACCCGTTTGAAATATTGAGGAAGTCGATTTTGATGACGTGGCTGATGAAGTGTCAAAAAAAGTTTCAGCACGCCAATGTCACAATTCTGAGAGTTCAACTCTCAAATATTATATATAAAGGATATATATATATATATATATATATATATATATATATATATATATATATATATATATATATATATATAGGATTACCATGTCTTAATTTAAAAATGACTATATAAATCTTTTCTAATCATATTTTTTACTCGTTAATTTTTTCACCCGGTAAAGTTAAACAAATTTTTTACGACAAGGGGAGTATAAATTAAACCTTATTCTTTTTAATTTATTTCATCAACTTATTACTTGTACTTGTGAAAATCACATAAGTTATATCAGTAACAACCTTAAATTATATTAGTGATAAATTCCTACGTGATACTCCCTCCGTCTCTAAATATTTGTCACACTTGTATTCCCGAGGTAAAATATCAAACTTTTTCAATTCATTTTATTTACATATTGTTATAGAAATGAAAAACAAAATTTACATATAAAAAAACTACATGAAAAGTTCTTCGAAATAAGAGGTGGCAAGAATACTTTATTTTATCAAATAAACAATGAAAACGTAGAAATAAACAAAAGTTCCCGCGACTGCTGAAAAGGCAAATGTTGCAAATATTTTGAGACGGAGGGAGTACTAAAGTTAATGTTTATTTTATGGATCTTAGTGTAATGATATCATAAAATAATTGAGACTTTAATAAAAAAGAGAAGACTTTATTACCAATTCATGAAAAATATAAAAACTTAGGGGTTGTTTGTTTCAGCCTTTTAATGGTTCAGATGTCTGAATGGTTCAGTACTTAATAGTTCAGATTGTTTGTTTCAGCTTCTTAATGGTTTAGATGTCTGAATGGTTCATTTATTTGCCTCTGAATGGTTAAGTATTATACAGAATCTGAATGGTTAAGACCTCTTATCTGAATTGATCAGACATTTACCTCTAAATAGTTAAGCAATATACTAGCTCTAAATGATTCAGATCTCTTATTGGTTCAGCACTTAATGATTCAGACCTCTTACTGGTTCAACACTTACCTATTCAGAAATTGCCAAACAGCCCCTTAGACTATGTTTTATTAGACTTGATCCACAGGCGCGAAAGAGGCATCACGTCCTATCACAGCATGAACACCGCAACACCGCGTGCGTCAGGAGGGCGTGACAAGCTGGGCTTGATGACATTCACGAGCGTTGCCCCTTTTTTTATTTCTTTTTTTAATATTTTTCTATTTTAAACCCATCAAAATTGAAAACATCTTTACACATCACTTCTGATCACACTCGTCATAACACATTTTTTCATCCTTTCACATTATACATTTTTACACATTTTTTCATCCTTTCACACTTTATATCAACTTTTATAAGAGCATCTCCAATGTATAGTGTAACAATTGGTAGTGTAAATTACATTTTACACTATCAAAATTTTTTTACACTTCCACTTCTTAATACCTACTCCAACCATGTTTTGTATAATATACTCCATACTTTACATTTATTCATGTCCCTATCTACAACCAACTTGTATATATACACTTTGCTAATTGTATTTTACCCTATATTGTATTTTAGCATTTGTTTTACCCTCTCCCTTGGAGTGTCAAAAAGTTAAACACAAAGTGTAAATTGTGTAAATTTTACTCCGTAGCATGGATTATGCTATGTGTACCCCAAGATTTGTATCCCAATTTGTACCCCGCAGTTTTGCACCAACATTTTGTGTTGGTGTAAAACTAATTTTTGTTAAACGCACCAACATTTGTGTCCGTGTGAATTTTTATTAACGCACCAACACTTGTGTCCGTGTAAACCATCGAAATGTTTGTGCAAACCTGTGGTGTACAAATGAGGTATATTTGTTGGTGTAAGTGTAGCATGGTCCCCGTAGCATATAGCCTTTACACTGTTTACACTGGAGATGCTCTAAGTGGATTAAAAATGGATAAAAAAAGAGTAATGGACACGTTAAGGGCAAGATCGAAGGGAAAGAAGATCAAGACACATCTCTGCTTCTACGACATACACGGAAGAATTCCAAGGTCGGATTATCAGTATATGTATATCTTCATAGATAGAGATACACAGACATACGGAACATAGGGTAGTGGGATATGGGTTGCTCCTCTTCGGTTCCAGGTAATCCCCAAATTCGAACCCTAATCTTCGTGCCTGCTGTAAGATTTCTTCTTCAGCTCAATTGATTCTGTATTCTCATTAATTCCCTTCAATGGAGACCAATTTTACTTGATTCTCTGAGATAAAGCGGTTTTTCTTTGGTGGAATGGCGGCTATTGGTTGAATTGTTTGTTAATGTGAAGTAATTTTTGTTTTTTTGTTTTGTTTTTTTAAAGGTTTTTTTTTTTCTCGTTTGATGTTTTTACAGATAGGAGTTTGGGACAGAAGGGAGGTCTTAATCCTGACAATGGTGCTGCAAATGACCCTAAGAATCTCCGCGTGAAGGTATGCTTAGGAGTTTGATTTATTCTTGCTCGAAAAAAAAACTGGACTGTTTATAAGGAAAAAGAACTAAATTAATTGAAAGTTTAAAAAATAACTTCAAAAATGATAAAGCTATGGTCTTTACTCTTTAGGGATATGATAGTGTTTGCAAGTGGCTCTTTATAGCCATGTGACAGAGGTATGTTGAGCCAATGTTCGAAATTATGTATTGTGGTTTTGAGGCGTTTTTATGTGAAGGCAAATTGCGTAAGCCTCAAGGTGTATATAATCCATTAACCTTTAAAAAGTATATTGGCAACGTAAAATATCTCAAACAGACAAACACGACAAAGTCTAGCATGAAACAATACAAAATATTGGCCAAATACGATGTCAATAATGTAGATACAATTTTCAACTTCAAATGACAAATCAGTAACAATTAAAATAAAAAAATGACAAATTAGTAAGAATAAATGGTACCTTTATAAAACATAAATTGGTGAAAAAAAACAAATCGTGTAAAATATAAAGAATAGAAAAGCAACTCTGCTAGGAAGATCAATACGATGAAAGATAGATGAAAACGATATAGGAAAGGCGATCGAGTAGGGTTAGGATCTATTCAGGTAATTTAACTTTTAAATTTTGTAATTAAATTACTAATTTGAGACTAACTTTAATTTTTGGGAAGAAAATATGGCGTAAGCTATTCTATGCCTCAGTGCGTACGCCTCAGGACTTACACAATTGCCCGCCATATCTGCACAGTATCTATGCAATCTTTATTACCTAAGGCTAGATCTCTAAGGGCGTAATCTTTCGGAAAATGCCATGAGGCGTGACATATGGTGGGTTACGCCAAGCAATCTCGAACACTGTGTTGAGCTGCTAATTTGTTTGCATATACAGTATAGGGAGATGTATTATTTGTCTCCCAAGACAACTTGGGTGCTTTCCAGATAAGGAAACAGGAAAGGGATTTAGAAATTGATTTATTGTGAGCATGCCAATACGCTCTACTTAACCGCCGAACGCTCTGAGCCAATCACCATAGCATCTTTACCTTAATTGTTATGCTGTAGAAGTAGAAATGTTCTTTCTGTGTAAGTAGTGAGAAAATGAAAAATAAGGGATTTATAAAAGTATGCGACTTTAAGAATGTTTTGATGCCTTGAAACAAATGTGTACAAAACAGTCTTTCTTAGCTCCCTTTTTATCAAAGCGCGAGTTTTGTACTGCCACACCTAACCTTCACGATGATCTTTGCAGTTGGTACTGCTGGGTGATTCTGGTGTTGGAAAAAGCTGCATTGTTCTACGTTTTGTTCGTGGTCAATTTGATCCAACATCAAAGGTAAAGCTATCTGACGATGGATGCTAGTTAGAACCTTTCCATTTTCATAGCTTCAGTGCTTCATGTAGAACAATAGATCTCGTAGCACCATTTTTATTGTTTTATTGTTTTTTTACTGTTTTATCTCTATCTGTTTCCCTCAGGCAGTTACACTAGAAAATAACTACTCCGTATATGTTTGGTTAAATTGTTTATTTTGATATTAATTTTCACCTTCATTTTTTTTCCAACATATCTGAATGCATTCAATGTAAGAATAAATTGAATAAATATAACCCCCCCTCCACCGCCAACACACACACACACACCAAAATCTGTCAACCAAACAAGGCAAACAACAGATAAGTGCATGTTAAATTCTTTCATCTTTTAAATTCCAAACGGTATAGAAGTAGCAGATTTCTAAACTGAATTGTTTTGATGGGTTTAGGTTACTGTTGGGGCTTCCTTTCTATCGCAGACAATAGCCCTGCAAGATTTGACTACAGTTAAGTTTGAGATTTGGGATACTGCTGGTCAGGAAAGGTATCATTTAAACTCCAATATCTCTAAGGACCAGTTTCAATAAAAATAAAGTCTCCTAGTTTTATACAGGCTACTTTATTATTATTATTATTATTATTATTATTATTATTATTATTATTATTATTATTATTATTACCATCATCATTATATAGGTATGCAGCGCTAGCGCCACTGTACTACAGGGGTGCTGCTGTTGCAGTTGTTGTATATGACATCACAAATCCGGATTCATTTAACAAAGCACAATATTGGGTCAAGGTAAAACTCTAAGATTATCACGTCTACTAAATCTTTGATCAAGTCAAATACAATGATGTGAGGGTTTCCGTGCTGTGGTGATTGGAGTGGTGCAGATAATGATTCTTCTCTTGGTTTGATTTCTGCCATTTTGGGTTATTTTTAGAGTTTTGATTCCTTTTGATGTCAAGCGTACTGCCATTAGATTGGCACATGCTCTCGCTCATTTCAGACCTCTATCTTGCAGAGTAGGTTGGGGTGGGGGGAAGTCTTTTCCTTACGGTCCTGGCTTATGAAGATTTAGGGCCCTTGGTGCCTATAAAAAGTAAAAACATACTCGTACTAATTAGTCTTCCTTTTCACAATCTGAAACTTTCAATAACTTTTGTTTGCGTACTGATAAAACAAAATAGGCATGTGTAGAACTTTTGATGTAGTTTTTTAAATAAGTTGTAATTTTTATTTTTATACCAATTTGTAAATAAAATCATTTTAAAAGAGGAGATTTTGCACGTTTGAAACAGGATAACTAATTTGGGATGGAGGGAGTATATTAGTATACGGCCTACCATACTTACGCTGCCGAATACGGAGTATGTGTTTGTATAAATATGAGATAAGTGACCAACTTTCGCATAATGGCATTTGTAGGAATTGCAGAAGCATGGAAGCCCCGATATAATCTTGGCCCTTGTGGGGAACAAAGCCGATCTCATTGAAAAACGAGAAGTATCTGTTGAAGTGAGCAAGACTGTCAGTTCTTCAATTAATTCTCCTGAAAACTTCTTTTCTACGTTACCAACACTTGATTTATTGTGTGCATTATGAAGGATGGAAAGGAGTATGCTGAAAAGAATCAAATGTTCTTCATAGAAACCTCTGCTAAGACAGCAGACAATATAAACCAGTTGTTCGAGGTGTGTTTCTTCCCCATCTATAGGACTATAGGAGCTTTATTGTTGATGGAATGATGAATTTCTTTTCAACTTTCTTTTTTTGGGGGTATTTTTCTGTAACAGGAGATTGCGAAGAGGCTGCCGGGACCATCTGTTTCTTGATTCGTCAAGCGCGGGGAAGGCAACGATTCGATATAGATATGCCTGTACTCTATTGCTATGTAAATAAAAAAGGAAAAAAATGGTATCCAGGTTTTTCTTGGGAGATTTGTCTAACTATGCATGGCTGCTCCTCATTTCTGTCATTTCTAAAGTGAAAGTTGTCCTCCTTTTAAAGTGTGCTCATTATTTTGGATGCCCAACTGTTACAACAATATGTAAGTTTTAGGCATTTCTTATTTCTTTTTGTTTGAGTGATATTCTCTAATCATATTCACTCTTGTTTTTCTCTGCAGTCATTTTGTTGGGCCTTCTTGTTGGTATGATATCTGTCCATTGGGATGGAAAATTGGGTCCTAGGATGCTCCTGCCTAGGTGCTCTTTATCGCACCTGCTCCTCTCATGCAGGTGCCTCCCGCACCTGCTACCCCTCTTGTGCATGGACATGTGCTAGGGGCGGGCGGTGCTGGAGGAGTAGGTGTGGTAGGAGTCTGGGTAGGAAGTTTTCCATGGGTAGGATGTTTTCCATCCGAATTGACATATATCCGTTCCAACAAGAGTGTCCAGCCCATTGACAGATATTATTAGAGAATATCGCTCGAACAAAAATAAACAAGAAAGGTCTAGAACTTGCAGATTGTTGTAACAATGGCCCGTCTGTAAGCCATCTTGGCAAAAAATGGTATCCAACTTGGGAGATTTATCTAATGATGCCCAATTTGCTTTCAAAGTGATTCATGAAATGGATATATTACTTGCTATGTCTATATTTTTATCTAGAGCTGGCAAACTAGTCGGTCAGGTCGGGTTTGGTTATTTTGGGTTCAAGTTACTTCAAATTCAGATAAGTTTGAGTTCGGGTTGAAAATTACATGTTCATGACCCAGTGTCATTGGGTTCAAGTTGACCCTACGGGTTATGAATTTTGTTTATCTTTTTTGAAATTTTTAAGTAATTTTTATGACCTAATGTCAATAATACGAAAAAAAATCAAATATGTAGAAATTTTGAAAAATGTAAAATAATTATGCGATATAATTAAAATTTGGTATGAAGATATAAATCTATACAAAAAACGAGTAGTAAGCAAAGAAAATTAATTTTAATCTTATTTTTATAACACTATATTTCATATTAAAATATACGATTCTAAAAAATCTTACATTAACGAGTTGGTTAGGTCAGGTTTGGGTTCGATCAAGTTTGACCTATTTTTAGCAAGTCATTTCGGGTCCGGCTAACTTCGGGTTCGGCCAGTAAAATCTTTGTTCCGGCTAACTTCGGGTTCGGCCAGTAAAATCTTTGTCCAAAATCTAGTATTTTCAGGTCGGATCTCGGATCAAAAATAGATCGGGTCACTTTTTGCCAGTTTATATCTATCTATGAATGATATAATGACGTGCAGTTTATCACTAAAATGAACCCAAAAGTCTCAATTCCAAATCAATGGAGTTGGAATTAGGGGTGGACACGGTACGGTTCCGGAACCGCCGGTTCCGGTACCGCCACCCCTTGGTACCGGTACCGGTTCCGGTACCGTTTTGGCCACCCCTGATTTTGTTTTTTTTTTTTGCTTTTTTATTATATTTTTAAAATGTAAAATTGTAAATGTGTAATTGTTAAAGGAAATGATGAAATAAAAAAATCTAAAATGAAATTGATAAAGGAAAGAATGAAATAAAAAAATAATAAAAAAAAATAACAGTACCGGAACCGCCGGTGCCGGTACCGAAAAATGGGCACCGGAACCGGTACCGGATTGGGCGGTACCAGTACCGGTTCCCGGAACCGGTGGACCGTACCGGCCGACGGTAACGGTACCGGAACCGGCGGTACCGTTTCCGGTACCGGTACTGTACCGGTACCGTGTCCACCCCTAGTTGGAATTGGTTAAATACAGATTCAGTTGAAAAAATTCGTAACATCATTTAGGGTCTATTTGGTACATGAAATCGACAAAATTGGAATTGAATTGTGAGTTTTTATGGAATTGATTTGGATATAATTGAAATTTCCAATTCCAATTCATTTTTGGCATTACCCATTCCGAATCCACATATTTTTGTGCTATCCAACAACAAAATTGAAATTGTTATTTTCAATTTATAATTTCATAGTTTGAATTCCATGTACCAAACGGAGCCGGAGAGTGCTACCCTTTGCAAATCCGCCTTGTACTTCAAGTGTACCTTTGAACTATTGTAATTCTAACTCTCAACTCAATATCACCTTAATTCTGGTTTAAGAGATCTGGTTACATAAACCAATTTAAAAAAACAAACTCCGATATACCAAGGTCATCTTTTTTGTACCAACTGAAATTCTCCTTTACACCTTCTCAATCAAGGTCATTTTTTATCAACCCTGCCTTTTTAAAGTCAATCACACTCCAAACAAAATGGTTGCAAGAAAGGTCATACCAAAAAAAACAATGTCATCAAAACAACAAAGAAGAAGCCACACTAAAAAGTCTCTTCTTTACCGGTCACCCCAATTTCTCCATCAATGTTTCTGTCAATGTGTGCCCGTTCACTATTTTTGTAGTCAATACAATCAAGTCATATGGCATACCCTCCTGCACATGCATCAACACATTAGGAAATTGACCAATATAACCCTCCTAAAAGCAAAAGTTTCATCTGGTTTAATGAAGTAATTAAGATTTGTTTTATTGAAAGAACACTCATGTCGCGTATGGTAGAACTCATTGAGTGCCCAGACAGGGTATAAAAATTAATACATTCTCTATCAAGGATTATAGAGGCTTGAGTCACCCGTCAGTTGGGACAAAACGTTAGTGTTTGTATTTAAAGAAACACGCCCCATCCCATAAAAAGTCAATTTCCTTCAATGTATAGTTTTTTATTTTGGGAAGGTAAAACTATTGTTAATTACCGATTCAACTTAAAATATTACGGAGTAAATTCAATGCTTGCTTCTTTTGTTGAACTAACTTTTTTTAAATAAAAAAGAAGTTTTGAAATTGGTGATATTTAGTACAATGCTCATAATATTTCAAAGCAAATGGGTAACACAATACTATAAATTTCTATTCATATTTTTTAAAAAGAGACTTATTAAAATTGAAAACACGTGAATAGAGGCAGAAGAGATTCGGTTTTGATTAATGAAAGAACTTGAAAAGACTACCTGGGAACTCAGGAATCGAAGAGCATTAATCTCAGCAAAGGTCACCCCACCAATGAAAACAACAAGCACCAATGAACGCCTTCCATCACCTATCCTGAAATACCAATAGGTGGCAAAAAAAATGATATGGAGTGAGACTTGTATCTTTAATGCTGCACATCTTAGGAGGAGAAGGACCAAGAACTTGGCCTTAACTCAGATGAAACAGAAGGAAATGCAATACATTAACTAAAATTAATAACAGTACTATGCAAATCCAACTATTAGGTTTTATGAGCATCTTTTCTTCTCCTTATCTTACTTTAAGTGTAAATTAATGGTGCTTTCGGTATGTGTTTAGAAGCTCTAGGTTTGTGCCCGAAATGAAAACACATGAAACACTATATTTCTACAGAGTAATATATATTAAATAATTAGTACATGCATAAAATATGTACACAAGGTCAGAACATTGCTTGAGCCTTACTTGTCAGAGTAGTCTATGGACCCTGGCAGACTGTCAAAGGACGGATTGCTTGCAAATCCACTCTGTAAAGATTCATGCAAATACATTTTGGTCTTATATGTGGTCTCGCTATATGAATTAATTAAGGTATGAAGGCTTACCCTCTTGCTATCTGAATGGGGCCCTGGCAGCAGTCTTAATATTTCTTCAATGGGACGCCTGTAACATTTATATGTATAATCGGTTTACCTTCTTAGTTATATGCATGACCGTAACAATTTTTTTGAACTCATTGTCATCTCCTCATCTCATGATACTTTCCATGAAAGTAGATAAAAGCTATGATAATGAAAGTGAGATTGATCAACACGGTAAATTCTATCTCACGTGACGATGATGATGGGGTGGCTATCATGAACGATTAAGGGGAATCAGGACTGAAACTGAGACTTCTTACAATGAGTTTCAAGCCTATGACACCGGAGTACTGGACTAGTAGAAGGTTCATGGCACATAGCTTTTACCCCCAACTAAATGGAAAAAGAATGTATATAAATATTGTACAAAAGTACTTCATACACGATTAGATTGGTTCTCCTTCAAGAAAAGTAAATGTCACATACATTAATGGTACAAGCTCATTTTACTTCCCAAGTCCCAAGTGTGTTTCACTTTCACAAAATACCATCAGTTGTGGATAGAAATCATTTATGTAGATATAAGATCATAGTACAACACCAAAAACATCAACAACAAGCCAGTATAATCCCATCTCCATTGGGGTGTGGGGGAGATGTACTCACCTTACCTCTGGAAAACACAGAGAGGTTGTTTCCGTTAGACCCTTGATGCATTGATGCATTTACTGCCCAAAACTTCATAGAAAGTAAGAAGCAAGAGAAGTTTAATGTGTCATTTTGATTTAATCCATTCTTTACTCAAAGCTAAAACATTGTCAAAAATGACTCTTTACACTCCATTGACGGATATAAGATTATAGTGCAGATTAAAATAACAAAAAAATCACTAACATTAATTCAATTACAGTAACTACAAAATTATATACAGCAATATGGTCAATACTATCCAACAGAGCTCTTAAAAAAAGAGATTACCACCCAGATCTGATTGCATGCTGAACCAGGCGAATGCTGAGAGGTGCATATCCAGAAAAGACATAGGAAATATCTCTGGGGCTGCATTACGCACACAATGTTCAGAATCAGATACAAAGTAAACATCTGAGTTAATTATATATGGAGTATAATACAATAGTCAGATTAAAACATTATTAAAAAGTATGGATACACACGAACGACTCGTCGACTCCTAAAAGATCAGATGCAGAAGTAACATATTACTCATTTTGGCCTAATAATCTTAGCTGAATACATTCTGCTTTTTCAATGGAAAAAAATCTTTCTTTCGATGACTTCCATTCCAAATATGAACACAATTGATTTCCTTATTCCTTCTTGACAAGAAGAAAAGATGCAAATACAACACAATTTCAAGGATGAATAGAAGACCCCTTAAGGCTCCATAAAGTAAATTCTCACAATTTTTCTGAAGTTTAACATCTTTATTCAGCGTAATAAGTACTATGAATGGCAGTGTTTATTTTAGTTGAGCCTTTAAAGAAGCAGAATAATTACATGCGGCTAAAACCAACAACAGTCACTGGCATAAAATGCAAAGCACGTGTGCGATCACAACATTTTCTGAAGTTTAGATAAAAGTTGATAAGCTAGAGTAGACTTCCCCAAAGAGAAATACATACTTGGCAGTGTCAGTGTCCTCCACAATAAGCTGAAGAGCACGTTTAATAGTTATCCAGTTGCTTTTTGATTCCTAAGACGAAGACCAAATGCCAAATTCAGTAAGTTATGGAACTGAGCAATACACCAAATAGAGCAATGTACCAACCATCGTAGTATTGTACCACAAACCTGCTTCCTGAACAATCCCGCCTTTTCCAAATTGTTTAATGTAGCAATGTGCTCAAAACCATAGCTGTGAAGTAGCTCTCGCCTACCAAAGACAAGACACGAGAATTTGTGAATTTTTCAATAATATCCAACAACATACCAATTAGAGAAATTTGAAATAGAGTGAGGAAAATGTCATTTATATCCCACTCACCTTAAGTAGTCATAGTTCTTCTTTGGTAATCCAGAATTTGTGATCGAAAATAATATGAGAATGCGCAGAACATTGACAAGAGGTTCCTGTTTATGGATCATCTCCTCGATGTACTCGAAGCATCTGCATCACATGCAGCAATAGATTTCACTTTATCTTTTATTGTTATGCAATAATGCAAGACTAGAATGCAGAAAATGTTTTTGGATGCATTAAGCTAGGGTTAAATGATATAGACGACTAGATGAGCTTACCAGAATGCCTCATATTGGTCATCATAAGAGCATGTGCAATGGTGAGGCAAAAATGGAATGCCACACGGTGATGTGGAAAATTTGAACCAATCAAAAACATCTTAGTAAGCGAGTGAGTGGAGTGGCATGCTATGCAGTGGCAAGTCATTGTTTTTTACACTTTTTAATCTTTTTTTATGTATATTAATTATTAAAAAATATTTTATTTCTTTTTTTTACAAAAATAGATATGCATACTCTATTAAAAAGCAAAGCTGTTTTCTTATACAAAATAAAAAATAAAAAATTAAAAAAATAAAAACAAAAGGAAAAAAATTTGCCTCGCACGTTACTCGCAACCCAAGTAAAAAATGGATGCCATGCCACGGTTTTGGAAGAGTACAGCTGAGTTGGCAGGGCGAGGCACTCACACCCCTCGCCGCTGCTCATGCTCTTATGTCACATATATCATATTACTCAGATGGTTGTCATGGAAAAAGAAAAATTTAGTTCCATTTATTTCAGGAAAAAAAATAAACCAACTTCAGAAAAAATTGAGAATGGGGTCACTTCCATAACAAAAGATGCAAACTGTAGCAGAAATATAAGAAAAAGTACTTTGACAAGAAAATCACAGAAACTCTAATAGCAGTGTAGCACAAAAAGAGATAAAGAAGGAAATATAAGGGGGGCACTCTTCATTTTTGCATAAACTAATGAGATAAAAGTGCATACATCCATTTCAAGAGTAGATTTTATTAGTGACACAAAGATGTAACTTGTAAAGCTTTATACAGTATACATACTAGTAAAATTTCCTATTATTAGTACTACTAGTATTAATTTCCTAATATTAGTATTAGCAATAGTCTCATATTCATATTGGGATTCTTTTTATTATATTCCTAATATAAATATTGTAACAGTAAGGACTCCAGTACTTGCTCATCGAGATTCTTGGGACTAGTATAAAACTATAAATGGAGGGGTTCTGTTCAATAGTAATGCCATCAATAATTTTGGAGTTAATTCATATGCGTCTTTGGTAAAACCAAACACAAATCATATCAACATTCATATTTCCCAAACCCTACTGTTGTGGGATTCACCTGGGTTGTTGTTGCTGTTGATATCAACATTCATATTTCTAGTAGACATTGTCATCAGATAATGCCCCACCCACACACCAACAAAATCATTTGAAGCATTGACTTGTACTCCTTAATAAATAAGATTGAAGTTGTACTCTATCCTTGCAGTGAGCCAATGATTGCAGGCAATAATTTTATTAGAAAATTATTATTTGAGATAACTTATATTTATAATACTCCCTCCGTCCCACAAAAAAGTTCCCATTTGGATGTATTTTTGGTCAAAAAGTTACACACTTTGACCATAAATTAAATATAATCTAAATAAAGAAATGCTAAAAAAATTTGAGATATCAAAACTAGATCCTAAGATGAATCCAATTATATTAAATTTATTTTATAATTCAATATACCTTTATCACAATTTCTAGTCAAAGCGTGTAAATATTTGACTAAATACTATTCAAAATGTGAACTTTTTTGCAGGACGGAGGGAGTAATAAAGATCTACTAAAACAGCAACAAAAAAACATATTACCCATCATTATCCATACTGAACAATTTTTCAGTAAATATTTAACAATAATCAATTAAAGAATCTATACACATAGTTTAAGATAACATGAACACCTATAAACCTAAATTTGAGACCCTTTCAAAACTTAGGGCCTTTCAAACCAATAATGAGATAAGTTTTGCAATTAACTCACATATCGTAACTTTCAGACTCCACAATAGTATGTTCCATATCTAGCCGCCCAAGAAATGAAGGTTTAGATGTAAATTTATTTAAATGCTGAGCAAGATGTATATGCCTCTGGAAGTGAGAGAAAAATATTAGTATCGCACTTTTTTTGGCAATACTGCAAATGAATGTTACCAAATCCAAAGTATAAATGAACTTACTGTCATTTCAGGCAATGAGTTGAGTTTTTTAACGAAGTCTTTCAATTCAGAAACAGTTTGGTTCTGCATAAAATTCACAACCAATTAAATGTAAGGTTTACAATATAACATATTCATTCAAAAATCTCTCTCACACAGTCATTCACTACTGGATACACACAAAATAGGTAAAAACCTAAAATCAATTATTAAATTAGTTGATTTGGAGCTGCAAAAATGAGAGTATCAAAGAGTCTGCATCCCAGTCTTCATTTTATGCGATAAGCCTTCTCTATTAATTCCACTTTAAGTGGGCTAATTAACTTGTTGCTAGGATATAAATGACTACAAAAGTATGTTTTTTTAAGCATGTTAATATTTATAAATAACTCTAATCACGTATTGAAGCCATAGGCATCTATGCACATTTAACAATTACAAGGACTTACAGTTGTTTGCATCTCATTGTAATCTTGTTTCATAGATGTTGCTCTTTGACGTAAAACCTGCAATTGCACTGTAAATGGCAATTAAAAGACCACAAACAAAAGAATAAACCATTATGCAAATTCGGAACATGGAAAAGGAAACATTATGAAGATGACATGGAAAAGGAAACATTATGAAGATGACATGGAAAAAGATGTCCGAAATTGCCTAAACTTTTAAACAGAACTGAAATGACAGATCAACCTGACCGACAACTTCGAAATTCTGATCCCGTATCTCTTTGAATAGCTTGTCACTGCAAGCACATACTAGGTCAGCCAGACCAAGAGGTAACTATGCGCTATGCATGGCTAAAAGCATATTTGGGGGTAAAAGACATGAGTGAAACTTGCAAGCCTAAAATTTATTATTGAAAATACTCAAAGAGTTCAATAGTTCATACAATAAAGTCCTAAGACCTAAAAATGCTTGTTAGAGTTCAAACAATTTAGTAAAGCCAAATTCATCCCTGAAAAGCTTATAACCTTATAGTAATACAAATTAAAGATAATACTTCTCTATCAATTAACAATTAGAGGAAAAATTACCTAGAATTTAAAGGAACCTTCATTTTCTTCCCCTCTTGCTGGGCACCCATTATAGAAGAATCAACCTCCACAGCACCATTATTGATACCAAGAAACTGTATGACACCAATAAAATCTATACAGAACCTATGATTCACTTTAACACGTGAGAATAGTACTTCATAGTAATTACAAAAATAGCTTTTTACCTCATCCATTAGCCCTTCATAAGTTAACTGGGAACACATAGGTGTAACCATGTCCACCTGCAGCAGGGTATGAGTTTTTGAATTCTATTAACAAGATTTCCATACCATGTTTTATATAGAATGCTTATCAAACCTCTCTCGACATCATTCCCTCACAATGCATGTATATGCAACTTTTACAAAAAAAAAGAAGCGTTGAAAACAAGAAATATCTTTACAAGGAGTGAATACCTCTCTGTCAATGAGGATGAGAGTGTTAATCTCTGGCACAACAACCTGCATGTGAATAAATTCCAAAAAGAAATATTAACCTATGGTGTATGAGGCACTCAGTTTTTATGTATTTTCAAAGGCACCATGTTTTAAATACATCGGTGATGTTCACTGGTTCTTCGTCTTGCATCCTATATAAAATGTCAGCAACACGGACAGATGCTTTCCCTTTGGCTCTCACATTTGGTATGACACCAAAGGAACACTGCACTTTTCAATTAAGACATCAATAGAAAGAGTGAACGGCAGTGCTTTTGCAGAACCTACTTTTCTTTATGTTAACCTTCATCTATGTTTATATGCCAAATACTGATAAAGTTGTGAAAGAAAAACCTCAAGCTTGTGAATGGCTTTTGCTATATGCCAAAGAGAGGTCGTGTCTCCATCAACTGTGAATTCCTATCAGGCAAAATGCAACTACATTTATATGTATGTCTTAAATGCAAATTATGTTGTGAAACATCAAGCAAAACAAGGATCAGACATACTCTGCATGCAGTATCGAGTTCAAAAGACAAAACATCTTCATCCAGAGGAAGTAGATACAAGGGATACTCGCCTATGGTCAATAAGTGATGGACTTTCTCTTCCTCGAGTACCTATGTTGCATGCAACTTCAGCGAAAAACTATGCCAAGATCTGATCCTCTAAAGCATAAAATAATTTCGAGTAGGATTAGGGAGCAAACCTTTTCGCATACAACTGCACGGCGAGGAACAAAATACAAAAAATACTCTCTTTGAATCCCCTTAGAACTATCATTATGAATGTCTGAGCAAATACTCTTCATCAAGCCAAGCTGAGCTCGAACAAGATAAACAATTTTAGTACAATCTGTTTGGATTGGTTCACTTGTAAGGTGCCGCAATTCAGCCCCAAGCTCCTGTTTAAGGTTTCCAACAAACAAGTTTGAAATTAACAATATAGCAAACCCATCTTTGATGGTCCATTTGCTCCTCAACACATGACATTCTCTCAACATTTTACTTTCACCTAATCATTTCAAGTAGCCGTTTTGCAATAATAATGATGATGATGATGACGATGATGATGATAGAACACCAACAACAATAATAATTGATCTTAAGAAATTGGGCATTTGGGCGATGAAAGTTTCATTGTTATTCCACTGATACGCTACAAATAACTGAAATATGAAATCTATAGCAGTTAAGAAAATAAATAGCTCCAAATGAATGAGTAACAAAAAGTGGCAGGTCGAGATAAAGAAGGATGCCTTGAGTATTGAGCTCTGCACAATAAGTGAGAGTGAACCACTGAGCTTAGGATCAATAACCAAACACTTCTGCCCTCGAACCTGCAATTTTCCAAAAGAAAAAGTAACACTCTTAAAATAAAAATTACAGAACTGAGACAAATTCATGGAGCACTACGACAAGCTGACAGGAAAACTCACAAATTAGGCATTGCATCAGTGTAAAGCAGCACAGATGAGTTCATAAGAAGAAGAAAAAAGGTATAAAACTTACGTTCTTCAAAATTATCATGAGCTCCTTCTGCGATTGATCTCTGTATACCAACACAGCAACAATTTGTCATCCAGATCAAACGCGGATGTGCAGAAAGGAAGTGGAATTTAAAATTTTAACATGATACGGAATACGCGATAAATATTCACCTTATGGAGGTGAGGATTATGGGAGCATTGTCGAGATTTGGGAGTTGCGCCATTTCTTCGCCGTCTCCTTCTCTTCTCTTATTTCTCTCCTGCAAAACTTCGCACCCAGCCAGCGAGCGGAGATCACCAGATTCACTTCAAACAGTAGCACATTCCATACCGGGTCCGGATCCGGATCCGGGCGTTTTCTTAGTTTGTCCCGACTCCCGATCCCAAGTGTTAGCTCAGCCATTATCTATTCTTACAAAATTAAAAAGGGCAAGGTTCAAGTGACATTGAACATTGATGTCATGGGATGACCCGGGGGCGCTCCGGTGCCCCGTTCGTAAAATTGACGGTTCTTATTCCCCTAATCCCCCGTTAAACCCCCCACCTGGCTCCGACCCGAACACACACTCCCACTCCCTTCAATTGCACCACACAAGTTGATTTTGACTTTGGAGGGGGTGCAATTGAAGGGGGTGGGAGTGTGTGTTCGGGTTGAGTCCGGGTGGGGGGTTTACCGGGGAGTTAGGGGGGTAGGAACCGTCAATTTTACGAACGGGGCACCGGAGCACCCCCGGGTCATCCCATTACATCAAGGTTCAATGTCACTTGAACCTTGGTGAAATTAAAATAAGGGTGTGCTAATTCCGTCCCTTTTGGAGATACTCTCGTTATCCCGAATTAAATTATTTATTTATTTTAGCTAGTTATTTGATAACATTATATAATCATGTTACCACTAGCATTAGATTTTATGACGTAGTTTTTAAATAAGTTATTTTTATTTTTAATTCTACACCAATTTTCATATAAGATGATTTGGAAATAACTTTTGTAACACCCTAATCCGTCCAGGTCTGCAGCCCCTTCCGGACTAAAATATTAGTTTGGTAATCGTAAAATTTAAAACATTTCAAATATTTTTATTCTTCATAAATATTATTTAATACATAACTGTAGCAAAATACGGAGTATTTAACAATAACGCGGAAACAATTTAAACCATGTTTAATAACAACACAATTATTTATTTTAAAATCACAAATTCCACCACAACAGTCTCGCCCCTTCCGCTGCCAGGAACATGCCAATCATTCATTCTGCCTACCTGCGTGTAGCAAATAAAACACACTACACGCTCAGCGGTGAAGCTGAGTAAGCATATCTAAAGCGTCGAACATCCATATAAATTGAATCTAAATTCGCAAACAACCATTTGAGATCATGCATACAATATATAATTCATTCATGATATTCTCAATATTTTTATTTCAATATCTCAATATTCAATATTCATATTCAATATTCAATATTCAACAATATCCTTAAACTTTGCTTAGTCTAAGGCCAGTTCCATTCTTAAACTGATTCTAGTTCAAGATATTCTAATCCTTAAGCTAGGCCTAGTTTAAGATATATATTTTTTTAAAAAAAATGTTTTCCAATCTTAAACTTACCTTCGCTTAAGGTCAACCAAAAACCGACAGCGTAGTGTTCACCGTTGGGTTGGGTGGTACCCCCAAACGAGTAGGTACTCAAGTTTGGTTCTTGGATCCGTACGTACGTTTTAACCCCAGCCACCGAGCATCATACCTGCAAGGCCTATTTCTAACCTATCTTAGAGGTCTTCTAGATAGTATTAGAAACCAACATCAATATGAATATATCTTAGAGTTCTTCTAGATATCTTTAACAACATTATTCATCAATTCATATTCTTAGTTCAATAATCATTTCATCCAAAATATTCATCATCATTAACCCATAATATTCATCAAATGAACAATCAATCAATCATCATAATAACTAATAACAATCAGCGGCCTAGCATCGAGTGTTAACACCTAAGCAATTCTTATGAAAATGAAAGGATCCTTCCTTGGTTGTGGTGCTGAGCAACCTGGACAGGTACTCAATGCAGAAAATGAATAGAGTGGGAGCCATAAGGTCACCCTGCCGAAGGCCACGCCTGCTCTTAAAGAACCCATGTGTGTTCCCATTAACAGAGATATAGAAGATGAAGTTTAAGTGATGCATTCCATGATGACGCCAACAAATTTGAGAGGAAAGCCAAGTCCAAGCATAACTTCCTGTAGGAAATTCCTAGACACGGTATCATAAGCTTTAAAGATGTCCAACTTGATCATATATCTAGGGGTTGACCTCTTGATGGCATAGTCTCTAATGAGATGTTGGGCAAGTAAAACATTGTCAATAAGGGATCTACCTTCAACAAAGGCCCCTTGAGCCTTGTCAATAAGATCTGGAAGCAAGGGAACCATCCTTCTAGCCAGAATCTTGGTTATGATTTTGTAGAGCACATTGAGGCAGAAGATACTCCCGAAGTCCCTAACAGTTGGATCATGGGTAGTCTTAGATATAAGCACTACTATGGCATGATTCAGTTGTTTAAGGAGCCTACCTGTGTTAAAGAACTCATAAATAGCCTCAAAGACATCGTGTCCCAGAGTAGCCCATTGGTCCTTGAAGAAAGCAGCCATATACCCAACAGGTCCAGGTGCTTTATTACTTCCAAAAGAGAACACCACATACTTTACTTCATCCATAGAGACTGGTGCCAGGAGGTTATTATACTCACTCAAGGGAACCCGAGGTCCATTGGAAATGATGAGAGGAACCCGATCGAGGTTATCATTATTACTTTCAACCACTCAAGGGAACCCGAGGTCCAAATTAATTTTCTTGATTAGTTTTGCTGGCACACTTTTTTGAAAAATGAAATTGAGTGGTTGAAAGTAATGCAAATGAGAGAGAAATATGGTAACAAAAAGTTTTCCAAAAAAAGGAAAGAATTGAAATATGAATTTTTTGGGACATCTTGAATAAGAAAACAATAAAAGATTAATTTGAGAGAAAGGGATTTTAAGAATTTTTTTCATCTTTCATTAATTAAAACAAAATCTTTATTTTTAAAATGTTCTAAGACTTTTTAACGTACTTTATTGGAACGTTTCGTACTATATTTTTTTTCTTTCTAATAACTTAACATGTGATTCAAAAGCTTCTATATTTCTTTTCTAAATAAATTTCAATGTCACATTCTTCACTTTTACAAAAAAAATACTTCGTAACTAAGTTAAATGTTTTAGAGAAATTCAAAAAAAGAAAAGTAGGAACTTTTGGTGGCATTTTTTAAAAAAATTAGATAGTTTGATATCATTATTAAAAGAAAAAAAGATAGTGATACTTTGACAAAATATAATACTCCCTCTGTTAAATATCTTTTTTTACAGAGTACTATTATAATTTTATGGAAATTTTTATTTATTTGTGTTTTTTCATAACCTATATGATAAAATAAAATATTACTGTCACTATTTGTTTTGTAGTTTATTTGTTTGTGTTTTTTCATAACCTATGGAACTTTTGATATAGTTTTTAAATATGTAAATTTTATTTTTTATCTCTATACTAATATTTAAGTAAAATAGATTGAAAAAAAATTGAAATTTTTCTTTCATTTTAGGCAACGTAAAGAATGATGATGTGGGACAGAGGAAGTAGTTGAGTAGCACTTTTGAATATTTAGAGAATTTAATAAGATTATTAAAAACTAACAGACAGTTGCAATTTTTACAAAAATTAACTAAAAGACAGTTGCAATTTAGAGAGTTTAATAAGATTATTAATAAGTTTAATTTTTATTTTTTCCTTTTTTTTAATTTGTTTCTTTTATCTATGAAGGTTTTTAATAGTTTTTTTATAATTTTCTTAAAATTAAAAATATTTGATTTGAAATAAAAAATGGTTTATATATATATATATATATATATATATATATATATATATATATATATATATATATATATATATATATATATATTGTTGAAATATTAGAATAATAATATTGCTCATTGAATTATTGAGTACATGATAGAATATATATAGGATAGACTCCTAACACAACTAGGAATAGAGAATACAAACTAACTAATATACAAAATCTACCACAAATAGGATTAGGAAGTTGACAAATAATGAAACACTACCATAACCAATACTACAAAAAGTACTATTAGTATTATTGTCTAACATATATATATCTGTGTGTGTGTGTGTATAGACACAGACACATACACACAGGTACTGCATCTCTACGTGTCAAATTAACATTTTTTTTGTTTTTAGAAATAAAGTAATAAATTTTTTATGGAACTTCAAAAAATGTGAAATGAAGTAGAAGAATCTAAGGCCCCGTTGGTACACGGAATTCAAATTATAGAATTGGAATTGAGGACTTCAATTCCAATTCTTGTGTTTGGTAGAACAAAAATTATGTGAATTTAGAATTTGTAGTGCAAAAAATGAAGATGAATTGATGAATCCAAATCTATGAAATTGATTCTCATGAAATTTAAATTGCAACTCAATTTCAATTCCATCAATTTCGTATATCAAACGGATCTTAAGTGTATCCCAAAGTGGTGTACACCACCTTTTTAGAGATAGAGACACCCACTCTACACATAGTTTAGTTTAAAAAAGAAAAGATGAAGACCAAGTTTAAGATAGACGAGTGTACAATATAGGGGGGTGGTATCTCTTCTAGCTCTGTTGAGGGCACTGTGTGATGGAAGTTGTTTTTTTAAATGAAATTTGGGGGGCCATCCAAAGGAACAAAACCTTGAACTAACCAACGGTACATAGCCGGAACAAAACGGAGGGAAGGCCAAAGTGGGAGACAGACAAATCTGAACATTAATTAATGAAAGGCTGCAAGTATTACATGTCAGGTAGATAGGGCACAGTCCCTTTTTCATGATACTCCCTCTCCCCTCCCTCCCCCCCCCCCCAAGCTTAGGGCTTAGGCTTAGCTTGTTGAGTCTGGTGGGATGGATTTGGACTTACACAGCTCTCTCACTCACTTCTCATCTCTCTCACTCACTTTGGACCGACGGACACAAACTACTCCCACTGCTACTGGTGCGTACCAATCCAACATTTCTCCTTCATTCTTCATTTCTCTTCTTCTTCTTCTTCTTCCACTACAAAAAAAACGCGGCATTGGCACGACATTTGGCACGGACGGTAGTATAAAGTATCCGTGACTTTCTGTGTTGGCACGGACGGTGGAGCTGCCAATTACAGGGCTCAAAAACATTGGAACGAGATCTCGTCCGTGCCTAAAACTTGGCACGACGTTTAGCACAGAAGCGTCGTTCCAACCTAACGCCACTAACAGTTTAACGTTTAAGTTATTGGCACAACACAGACCGTGCATTAGTCCATGCCTAATTTAGCACGGACAGGTGGCACGATACTTTCCGTGCCATAATTTTTTTCAAATTTGAAAATTTAAAGAGGCGCCAATACCTCAAATTTGAATATTGAAAATTTCAAATTTTAATTTTGGCACGGCCTATATACGTGTCATTAGTTTGACTTCTAAATAGTGTTTTTATATATATTTTAATTGCACGTTATTTAAATTGATTTGGCCCGATAAATATCCGTGCCTAATGTTACAAAAATTAAAAATAATACTTTTTTTAAAATTTTGAAGAAATAAATAAAATCAAATTAATCTATTAAACAAACACATAAATATAACTAAACATTAAAACATATTAAGCATCACAATAAAAAACATGTTCAACATCACAAAAAATAATATGTTCTACATCATAATAAAAAACACAAACACCACATGCAAATAATCTTCAACTGGGTCGGAACCACTTTATCCTCCACCTCCTACAAAAAGTTTAATTTACTTCAAACTAACGGAATAACCAAAAAACAGAAGTATTTGAAACACAAAATAATTTAGCCTTCTCAGTGTTTCTGTTATTGCTCAACTTCTCGCTCTCGAATTTCTTTTGAGGCTGTTGTGTATGTATGCCATGGTCCATGAAAATTTCCCTTAATTATGAGTTTAATTGAGTCTAACACAGGCTGAGTCCTATATAGTTTAATTCGAAAAAAATAATCACACATTTAGATGATATAAAAAATTAAATATATTGAGAATAAAAGTTAAACATATTGAGAATGTTAAAAAATTAAATATACCCTTTAGTTCTAAAATAGTGATGCATCGTGGAAGGCCCTCATATTGAGAATCATTGACCATTCCTCTAACCTCGCCTTGGGACTCGCCTCCTGCCTGAAATATCGGTTGCGGCGTAGTCCCCGACGATGGGGACTCTGGAGGGGCTCGAGATTCATTTGTATTGCGGAAGCTTCCTCTTCCTCGAATGCTTCCGCAGAAGCTTGTACTCCGTGTAGAAGACATTTGTAAAAATTATGATTGACGTACTCAGAAAAAAGTGGGGATGACGCTTGGCGGCGACCAGAGTAGTCTAAGAACGAAAGAAATGGAGGGTTGATGGCGAAAGATAAGGATTTTTTGGACGGTGGCGTTGGTTGGAGGAGGGTTTTTGGACGACTAGGGGAGCAAAGAAGAAAAGGTTGATCCGGGATTTATATATTTTCTTGGTTGGCATGACAGTAGGCACGAACAAGGCGTGCCAAAAGCTAATCCCATTAAATCCGGTTGTCAGAAGATGCAGTATGTTGTCAGGGATATGTATAGGCATGGCTATAGGCACGGCGTTTATCGTGCCAATGTTGATTTGCAATCATGCCACCGCCAACACCTATATATGTGTACTCCCTATATGATTAATTTTACTCAAAATAAAGTATTATCTCATGATTCTTTTAATTCATCTTATTTGAATATTTGTATACAAATAAAAAATAAAAATTACATATTTAAAAACATACATCAAATGTTGTGCAAAATAGACAAAGTTTCATGATTTTATTTGAAGAATATTTTATTTTATCAAATACACAATGAATATTTGTTTAGAAATAAAAAATAAAAATTACATATTTAAAAACATACATCAAATGTTGTAGGAAACAGACGAAGTTCTTGCGATTTTAACTTCTCATTTTGACTTTTGAAGTCAAATTTTTTAAACTTTGACTGTATAGTACGGAAAAAATATATTAAATTTTCATATAAATTTATTATCAATAGATTCATTTTGAAACATAGTTTTGAAATATATTATTTTTATAATATATATTCATATAAAAATGGAGATATTAATCGTCAAAGTGTCACATTGGAGACCGTGAAAAGTCAAATGAGAAGTTAATTTTAGGACGGAGGGAATAATATATATCTATACATATATAGAGAAATATTAACGATTAAAGTGTTGCATTGAAATAATTAAAAAGTGAAATAGAAAGAATTTTTGGAGGAGAGAGTATAATCTAAACAAATGCATATTTAAATTAATAAATAAGTACTTTATTTTAGTACTTACCGGAAGGATATAATCAAATTGAAACACCGGAAAAATACTTGCAGGAACACCAAATATATTTATTGTCCTGTATTTCATCAAAATAATGCATATAATATTTTTTCTGATAACATATTTATAACGGAGTACAAGGCTGATGTTCTTATATGGGGATTCCAGAACCAGTTTTTTGGCACACATTGTAAGCATGACTATTTACAAAAGTCAAAACAATTATTGGCATTCATTAGGCACGACATATCTAGAATTAGGCACGGCATTTGGCACATCTTTGTCCGGACGAGTTATTAAAAATTAACGTTTCCCGACGGAAACAAAACGGCGTAAAGGTTGTGAAATTGGCACGGACCTTAGGCACGGACAGGGTAGTGCCAAATTTAGCCTCGCACAGCATTGCGCCATGTGGCATTTTCTCTCTCTCGGCAAAGGCACGGCGCAATCCGTGCCTAATGCGCGATTTTTTTGTAGTGTTCTTCTTCTTCTTGTATCATACATCCTGTTTACTGAAGGGCCTGTCGTTCGTTCGATCATCAACCCCAAACAGGTCCTACTGCCACAACTACGTAAGTACTCTTTAATAATTAATTAAAGATCCATCTACTCCGTATATTAAGATGCTGAAATTAAAGTTTTCCCCGACCCCTTCTTTTTACCAGAGCTTCATATTCTTAAATGTTCCCCAAATGTTCAAATGCTTAAATATTCTGTGTAGAATTTGGTGATTATAGCATAGGATTACCAAGATGTTGGATTTAGATAAGGAAGAACACTCCAAAGCAATGTTTTAACGCAGAACTCGATAGAATAACGAATCGCGTACGAAACGCTTTCAGATCAAAGTTATTTCGGGGTATACGAAATACTTCAATCAGATAAGACGTTAATCAAGAACAAGCAATCGAAAATCTGTACCCCAATCCATACCACGAGATTTTATTTTATAGAATCGAAAAATCCATGATCGGACATGATCCTTCGCGTAGACATACGCGTACGTTCGCGTGGGGAGAAGATAGGCGCGAGTTTGAAGAGCCTCCTGCGATTTTTAGAGTATTTTGACGTTTATCCGCTAGTTCGAGTCCTTTAATGATTTGGACTCCGATCACGAAAATCTTAAGGATTTTCATAAAAAAATTCCAAGCTGTCCTGGCAGCTCAACCCCGGCCAGGGGCTCTGCCCCTTGGACCCCGCAATGAATTTATAATATCGTTGAACGAGCGCGCACTCCACGCCTCCTAACTCGTTTGACAACGTCTATTTAAATTCATGTCCGATCGAAGTAAATCCAATTACACAAAATAAACCGATGACACTAAAATCACCAACACAAGATTGAGCATAAATACATACATACAGTACATACATACATATGTACTCCGTACATACATACACACACACACACACATTACATACATACTCCGTATATGCATATGCCATATATAGTTTTTAATTAATCTACCTAGTTGAGACTAGGAGGTAGCCGGCCTGATTGTAATTACAGAGTAAAAAAGCTATATACTCTGTGTATCTTTTGTTTTTTTTTCCAACTGTGTAAAAGTCTTTTTTTTAACTTCATTACTTTCTTGAGAAGAAGGCTCGCGAGGCACCCTGTTGTTGCCGTGATTGAGTTGATGAAGGAAGATTATCCGCCCTTTGTTGCTGCTATCGATAGAAAAAAAAAATGCCACATTTTGTCTCCTTTGCCAAAATTTGGAGAAAATTAATTAAAGTAGCTAAGTTAATACCATGTGGTGTTCTTTTTGATCTATCTAACACAGACATATTGATTACCATTAATTACTACTTCATGGATCTACTCCCTTGTGTTTTTTTTGCTAGAACCTCTGTCTGTAGTGCCTCTGAATATATATATATATATATATATATATATATATATATATATATATATATATATATATATATATATATATATATATATATATATCTTGGCCTTTTTTTGTTTTAAAGGTGATGTAATGTTGGTTGGTTGGACAGAAATGCCTGCCTATGAATCTATGATCTCCCTTGAGTCTCTGTTGAATTTCTAGCCTTTTTATTTGATGAGTGTTGTTTTTTTCAATCGAAGAATTCCAGTCTGCACATGTCACTTTGGTGGTGTCTCAAAGCATTTTTTAAACATTAAAATCAAAGTAAAACAAATAATTTAACATTTAATAACTCGTTACAGAAATGCTTATATATAAATTCAAAAGTAAACGCATCAAGTCTTTTTTGAATTAATATTTTTTTGAGAGTCTTCGGGGAATATAACATTTTTAGGTGTTATTGCAAGGATTTTTATTATGATTTAGAATTAATATTTTTAATCCTATCCTGGTTTTCACTCGTGAAGGAATAATATAAAATTGACTATGCATGAACTTCAACTTGATTAAAAATGATCCAATAAATGATAATATTTAACATTAATTTAATATGCTACATTTTTTATTTTTTCAATCAATTTATTCAAATAAATGTAAAGTTTGAAATGTCAATTGTATACAAGAATACATTATTTAGTCTTTACTTTTAAAAAGTTCGAGTATCGCCTTATCATTTAACTTTTATTAGACATTCATTATTATTTTCAAATAATACTCTCTCTGTCCCTTTAAACATGGGATGTTTTGATTTTGAAGAGATTTAAAGGGAATATATTTTCTTATTGAATTTTCAAAAATGTCCTTTGATGTGATGGGAAAAGTAGGATTTGATGGGTAAATTATTAGTAAAAAAGTATGATGTGATACATAGGGTATGAAAAAGTAAAGGGTAAAAGTGACTTTTTAATAGAAATAAGAAGTGTTTTTTGGGACGGATAAAAGAAGAAAAGAGAGATTTTCAGGGACGAAGGTATTAGTAAATATCATATACTCCGTAATAAAATTGATGGATACCCTCGATTGGGGGTATCCGGACCAACAGAATAAGTGGCCCAATAAAGCCCATCTAATCAAAGGATCCGGGCACGCTCGGAAAGGGGAGCCTGGCCCGCTCGGACCAGCGAGACTTGAAAGGAAACCAAGGCCTCAAGGTGATAACCATACTCGGACGTGTATCCCTGCTCAGCTCGGATACCTCCGCTCGAACCCAGGGCGGACCCGGTCGTATCCTCCTTGGTTCTCCTCGAACGACAAAGCATGTGCACTCGACCTCTGCCGCCACCTAAGCACTGTGAGCCTACTACGGGTGCGGGAGCCTGTATGCCTTGCCTATCAATGGGCCCACGATAGGACACCTGATCGCTTGTCTTTACGATTGGTTGTAACCACCCTATTGTCTGTACGTTAGTTGTAGCCACCTTAGTTTGTAATCATATTTCTTACACTGTCCACCAAAAGGCTTGATCTCGGTGGGCCCAGCCCAATAGGTTGTAGACTACCGGCTAGGAAGCCCAAGTACGGAGAAGGCATTGTATAAAGACTCTGCCCGTGGAGGAGAAAAGACATGTTCACTTTTACTACGAAGCTAATATACTTTACTCTTGCAATCAAAGGCACTCGACCCTTGTTCGATACTCTTTTAAAATTAGTCTCCTAGGTTCCGGGTTCTAAAACCCCTCAAAAATATATAAGGTGTAAAATAATACATGCCCAATGATATTAAAAACTAGATAGAAAAATAAAAGAAGGAATTAAGTATTTTAATAGACTAAAAATATCTAATATAAAATATAAAATTTTATAAGTATAAACATTGTTGTCGTTGACTCTCAGTTTGACTGGTCAACCCTTGACCCAATACCTCATCCGAGTCGATGTTTGGTCTAGTTTTCAGAACATTGGAGGAAACCCTCCACCCCTTTCGGCACACCCCCCGTGATTCATTTCTAACTAAAAGTTGAGAGAAGCTTGATGGTTGATTATCAGTATATTGATAATCTATTATCTAGGTTTCTCTACCAAACCCAAAAACTTTGGAGAGGTCTCATAGTCGAATATCAGGATAATCAATTATCATAGTGACCGTTTCCGCTCCAAACGGCTATATTCGCGTATTTTAACACTCAAGGATGCTTGATAATCGAGTACCAAATAGTGATAATCGACTATCACACTCCTTCATTCAAAATCTTTGACTAATCTCTCTTGGACGGATTAGCAACGGTAATCCCAAATCTCAACCTATAAAAACGCCCATAATCCTCACAATTTACACACAATTCTTCAACAACTCAAAATTGTTTTATTGCATTCATCTTATAGCGTTCCTTAGTTTATTCATATATACTCTTTAAGAATTTTGTTCATGAGTGCTTAAGTGTTTGTAAATTGTAAACACTTGAAGGTAGGGTTGTTACCTTAATAAGGTTCAAGGGAAGCTTGCATTCCTTCGGTCTAAGTCTTGGAGTGCGATATCTCTGGTGTTGGGGCTCGTGTGACTAGAGTTTTTAAAATGGATGAAGTTTGACCGTATGAATAATGAACAGACATTATAATTTGGGAAAGGAAGGAATAAAATAGAAGAGACACAAAACCATGTTGCATTTCAAAATGCAAAAATACATTATACGCCCAACATCCTGTTTTAAATCACTCATTTTGACTTTGAGACATATTTATGGAAGAAGAAAAATAGAGTCAACTTTTCAAAATTGTCATTACTTTTTAAGAAGGGTTGTGATGAATGAGAAGATAATGTGGAGAAGAATGACTTATTTTAGCCGTACTTTAGGTATTTTACTATTAAAAATTTACGTTAACAAGAAACAGACAACTTATTTTGAGACGGAGAAAAAACGGAAAATAGACAATTTAAAATGGAACAGAGTGAGTTATTACTTTCTTGTTGCTAAATAATAAAAATAAGGAGTACATTAGAATTTTACTGTAAAAGATTTTTGAATGAAGGCTTCATTTTCTTCAAGACTAATATTTCTGGACTCTTACATTTCCTTCAATATTTTGAATTATTTGTTTTTTTGTTCATTCGTTCTGTTTTTTTCCTTCAAAGGACTATAAAAATCAGAGGCCAAACAGGCTGAAGATCTTCCTTGATTGAGACCAGGTGGTTAGAACCTTTTGAGAAATGAAGGGATATGGAGTACACCACATGCTGAAGATAATCATAAATAGGCATTTGTGTCCTACACAACAACACCCTAAAATAGATATTCAACCACAAACAGAAGACATTTTAAAACATCTACATACTACATAAATAGTCAAGAGAGTCTTGAAACATCATATTAAACTTGCTCATGATATACCAGCCAACTTCGGGTCAAAGATCACAGTACTGACTGGCCAACCTTGCCAGAACGAGGACGTAGAGGGCGTGGTTTATACTCGTGAAGCCCATTCCTGAACCCATGGGTGGGATGTTCCCCTTCTTTGCACAACAGACAACCACTTTTGGTTTTAGCACCTGTAAAACATTAAGTACTTTATGGTCAGTATGTCAGATCATGATTATCAATCATCAGTGGCAGCTATTCCAGCTAATAACCCGGGAACATTTCACTTGCTAAGGATAAGCTCAGGCTTTTTTTATTTTAATTCTTCAATTTCGTTTTTTATCCCTGGGGTCGAGAGGGAGTGGTTTTGCAGTTGGCAATAAAGAACCATTGAAATCTCTCAGAAGAGTGATAGCTTAAGCAGGGCCCTCACCATCTAAAACACGACAAGTAGTGGCCTTCCAAACACAAGGTCCTGATTAACAAAGTTCAGCAAAGAAGAGCTTGGGCGATACTTTCACATTACTTTCCCCATTGGAATGAATATCTGGCTTAGCTTTAAAGCTGCAATGAATCTAGAGTCCATTGTGCAAATGGCCATTGCTCCACAGAGCCTCTATAAGCTTGTAGTTAGTGCACTACAGATCAAAAACATATGAACAAGGAAACAACGATCAAATAATGAACTGTGATCAGATAAAGAGTTTTTGAAATAAGATAACTAGCAAACAGAAAATTTAGTTCATGAAGACCAGTAGTTGGAATTTAACATACATGTTTCTTGTTGTAGTATGCCAATGCATGCATAGAAGATTTAGTGTTTTGGCGCTCGATATCCTCTTGAGATGCCTTTTGTTCAGGATAGCAGGGTGAATCAGGAGACCAACTGCATCCAAATATTGAAAATTCATAACCAACAAGATAGCGAAATTCACTCATCCAAATAATTGGTTCAATCCTACACCCCTTCCATTTCTACTTTTCTTTTTTCTTCTTTGAGTGCAGTTGAAAGATATGATTGTTGCGGGAATTGTTGCGAAAAAGAGGAGACTAAGGAATTAGATTTGAATTGTTGTAAAGGCAATAAAGACCAAATACTACCAAGTCAAAAAATATTGGAGTACAGATTTCAAGCTGACCCAAACAAGGATATTTTTAAACTTGAGTAACATTACAAAACACCCCGGTTCAGATGTGGGGTGGGGATTTACCAAGGGGTTAGGGGGTAATAACCACCAATTTTGCGAAAGGAGTGCCGTATATGCCGCACCCTCCTAAAACGAAGGAGAACATATAGGGAGTTAAGGGAGGAGGTGGAGAAGAAATAAAGAACATCAACATAGGTATTTAAGGCGCGATGTGCACCAATGCACAAAGGGATTCTAGTACCTCGCATGCATCACGAACACACTGCGCATATGTAGGCATGGGTAGCATCTCTGAGCATACTTCCATTAGGGGTCATTAGAACTTTGTCCTTTTTCCAAATCAAGTTTGGAGATTCTTCCATTATAAAGAGTATGACTATGAATGGGAAGGAAGAAATCTGCCAGGTGATGAAAGAACAAGGAAGCCTCCCTATTAAAAAAATAAAGAAATTGAAGAAACAAAAAAAGGTTAGATGCAGCTAACCTTCAATGAAAGGGAAGAAACAAAACTGCCAGGAGAAGCAAAAAAGAACAACTGTGAAGCCTCGCTATTAAGAAAACTGAGAAGCAACTAACTTAGAGATGCAAAGTCTAACAGAGAAATTACTGCTAAGGCTCATTTGGCCTCCATAAAACCCAATATAAAAGATCCCTAAACATAACCATCTTCAAGCGACCAGTGCCCAGAATAAAAATAAGTTATCCGCACCAGATAAATAAAAACTATAGCAAAAGTATGATCATGACACACCAAGACTTTAGGCCTCTTCACCATTGATAAGAAAATAGTATACCTAGACTAGAACAAATACACATTCACCCATTTTCAGCAATATTAACTTTATTACAAATTTACAATGTAGTATAAAGAGCCAACACCCCTTCTGGGGTTTGACCGTGACTTCTCATTTGGGAGAGCGACAATTATGGCACTCGACCGCAAGGTCTTTGGCCACATTCCCCATGATTTGTAATAGAGTGATCATAAAAGAATAAACATGGAACCTTTACTCAAAGGTGCACCCATAGACACAATGAATTGAATTTGAACCGTAAAGGGACCAAACAGAAAACACTACTGAATCAAAAACGATACGGAGTATTAAACAAAAATATTTTTAAACTTCTTCATAGGGTAAAAGGACAAAACACACCAAAAATCTCAACATATGCTTCTCCCCGTACGGTCAAGAGGCAAAGGGGAAAATTAATTGCAAGGAACTATAAGATGAACAAGCGAAATTTAGAGAAGCTTCGGGAAACGTAGTACTTACCCATCCGAAATGGAGCTATGGGGACTAGAATCAACATCAGAATCTGGATGTTCCTCCCAACCCATATTTCTGGCAAAGGGAGGGAAATCAATCGATCAGGGCCCCAACAATTTTACCCTATAAACGAAAAAAAATTGATTTAAGCTTACACTACTAACTTGGGCTTTTTCGTCTTTCTTGTTGATTTCAAGCTGGATCCATCAACTCCAGAACGTCGTCGTGATGATTTTGACTTCATTAATCTGCACATCAAAACAGCACACTTTTGAAGACAAGGGATATCGCGAAAACGGCCGAAAAACTCCTTTTTCTTCTGGGGATTGAAAACGAACCTGTTCCTTGGCGCAATTCGGAAAATACTAAGAGAGAGAAAAAATTACCTAGGGTTTTGATTTGCTTGGGATGAGAATCCAATCCTACGGAGTACGGAGAGAAGTGAATTAAGGTGTGAAATTGGGAATATGCTTCCTGGATAAAGAGCAATGCTAGGGGTACACCAAAAGGTGTACTCCAAATGTACACCACACCCTTTTCCACCACACATTTTTATTTGATTTTTATTTACTTATTTTTTTTAAAATTATTTTGCCTTTTTTAGTGGACAAGGAGGGGGTGGGGGACATATGTGGTACACCAAAGGTGTACCCCTATTATTTTTCATTTTTAAAACACGTACTTCATTCGGAAAAGTGGGAGGCTATGCACATCAAGAGTGGTACCCCAAATTTACATCAAAAGGATACATTAAAATAAAAGTAAAATATTTAAAGTCTATTAATATAGGAATTCCATATTTTTATTCTCGCAATATGAGTTAAAATACATTTACATTACCAAGCATGGTCATGTACAATACCAAAATTTATAGTAATGTTCACATTACCACAGTGCAAAATTCTATTTCGAAAATAAAAATATGGAACTCCTATTTTGGTACTTTTTTCTATATTTTAGTCCTATTTAGAGCAACGAAAATGGAGCAGACGCCCCCCCCCCCGGCGTTAATCGCTCTTTGACGCCGATTGGGCGTTAAACACCGCCCCCTAGCGGCGTTATGGGGCGTCAGCCACAACTCATAAAACGTTTAACGTAGGGGTGGACACAGTACGGTTCCGGGACAGTTCCGGTTCCGAAACCGCCGGTTCCGAAACCGCCGGTTCCGGTACCACCACCCCTTGGTAACGGTACCGATACCGGCAGTTCCGGTACCATACCGGTCGGTTTCGGCCAGTTCCGGTACTTTTTGCTTTTTTAATAAATTTTTAAAGTATAAAATTGTAAATGTGCAATTGTTAAAGAAAAGGATGAAATAAAAAAAATTAAAAATGAAATTGATAAAGGAAAGAATGAAATAAAAAAATAAAAAAAATTAACAACGGTACCGGAACCGGAACTGCCGGTACCGGTACCGGTACCGAAAATTGGGTACCGGAACCGGTACCGGAGCGGGCGGTACCGGAAAAACCTACAAATTCTACAATTAGTAAAATTCTACAATTCTAGCCGTTTCTCCCCCCTCCCCCAACGGATAAAAAAGTCGTTAATAAAAAAATTAAATTAAAAAAAACCTACAAATTCTACAATTCTATCAAATATTCTTTCACACATCTCTCACTATCTTCTCTCTAGAATTCTATCAAATATTCTTTCAAATATTTGATTATTTATTATTATTATTTATAAAATATATTTTAAAAATGAGATCATCTTCATCCGATGATGAAAAAAGAGCTCTCATAATTTTTTGTTTCCCCACGAGTTGTTATCAATGGTGGTAAGAAGGCGAAAAAGAAGAAGCTGAATCCTCCCGACGCCGGACCTGAGGACAACGTTTAAATCGAGATCGAGCGGTTGTCCATGCTTCACTTCTAAACGACTACTTCAATACTCTGTGTGTTTATACACCGGAGGATTTTAGTAATCATTTTCGAATGAGTCGTCCTCTTTTTTTACGCATACTCGCCAATGTTGAACGCAAGGTGCCTTGGTTCACCCAACGCTTTGATGCGAGAGGCCGATGCGGGTTTAGTAGAGTTTATAAATTTGCGCAAAAATTTTCTAAAGCTATTATTCGAAGTTATCATAGAAGATATTTACGCAAGCCTACAGCGAGCGACATTCAGCAGTTACAGGCAAGGCATGCCGCTAAACACGGCTTTGTCGGCATGCATGGGAGCATTGATTGCACACATTGGGAATAGAAAAATTGTCCCACTGCGTGCATGGTCAGTTCCCCCCGGGGGATCATTCCAAGCCTATTATCATGCTCGAAATTGATGCTTCAAATGACTTGTGGTTTTGGCACACTTTTTTCGGTGTTGCAGGCTCGAACAACGACATCAACGTTCTCGATCAATCATCTGTTTTTGACGATTGCATTAATAAGACTGCACCCGACTCATCTTTTGAGTTTAGAGGGACGCTTTACAAGCATGGATATTATTTGGCCAATGGAATATATCTAGATTATTCCACGATTGTCAAGTCCCTCTTCGAACCAATGGGTCTTAAACACCAGACCTACAAAAAAGCTCACGAGACGGCAAGAAAAGATATTGAACGAGACTTCCGAGTCTTGAAGGCTAAGTGGCACATTTTAGATCGTCCGTCCAAATATTTTTCTCAAAAAAAGGAATATCACTCATACATGTACTATTCTTAATAATATGATCATAGAGAACAACAGGTTTGCGATTTGTCAATACAACCCGGACAAGGAGGTGCCTATGTACAAAGAAATTGATGAAGAAAACAAACGAAAAAATCGCCAAGAAATTTGAAGCCGAGAGATTCACAATGCACTAACGGCGGATTTGATCGAACATATCTTCAGTCGCTCGAATAATTAGTAATTTGTTTATAATTTTGTTGCTTTTTATCGATGTAATATTTTTTTTTAATGAATGTAATTTTTTTGTGAATGCATTTGTATGGATGTAATTTTTTTAATGAATGTAAATTTTTTAATGCACTTATCTCCTTTTGATTATTTTAAATAATTAAATAATTAAGATTTATTAATTTAAATTTAGAAGATGTATATTTAAAAATGTAAAAAATGAAGGTTTGAAGCTCTGGGGCTTCAAACCAATTTCCACTGAATTTGTGAAGTAAGTTAAAGCTAACGTGGTAGGGAGAGAAAATTTTGAAGCCCCGGTTTGAAGCCTCAGGGCTTCATGAGTATTTCAGTGCCCTTAGGGTGATTTCTATAGTTTATTCGTTTCATTGAACAAATTTAAGAAATCCCCATCAATAGCACTAAAAAAAACTAAAAAGTCTAAAATAGCACTGCTATTGGTTCTTTTTTTTCGTAGGAGCAAGTAGTGTATTAGGCATGATATTATTCCTAATATACCCTTCTTTTAGTGCCGCAAATAAAAACCACCGCCACCGCACCCTAATTTTCTGCCTTAGATCCAATTATTCTCGGACTTTTTTCAATGTCCTCGATGTTTGATAAGCCGAAAATCCAACCATGGATGAACTGAATTGGCAATGACAGGTACAAGTTTTTCGATGATTTTGAAGTGATTCAGCATCACTTTATGTCAGCGGAGTACGATCACCGTTGTGGATGCCCGATTGTAGTGGTAGATGAAGTGAAAGTGATTCCAATCAACTATGTTGAAATTTAGAATTCTCTACCGGCCTCCCCTCGCTATCATATCCACCTCTGTCTCCTCTGGTACAACCGGGAGGCAGTGTGACGCTGTAGTGGTGGAGGGTGGCAGTGTGGCGGCATGAGGTGGCAGTGTGGCGACATAAGGTGGTAGTGTGGCGGTGAATTTTATAGTGTGGTGGAAGAGGGAGGTAGCGTGGAGGCGTTGATGGTTGTGGTGATGATGATAGTGTGGCGACAAAAGGTGGTGGTGTGACGTTGGAAGTCGTTGGGTGGCGTCAGCATTGGAGGCACTGTGGTGACGGTGTGGTGGCAGTGTGGCGATGGAGGTTAGGTGACAGTGTGGCAGTGAAGATGGTGGTGTTGTGGAGAATTTTTGCAGTGTGGCGGTACAGGTTCGTGAAATCTGGCGATGACAATGGCACTGTGCTGTGGGGGTGGTTGTGGAGGTGATAATGGCAGGGTCGCAGTGGGTCGGTGGCGGATGCGATGGAAGTGAAGTGACGACAACGATAGCGTGGTAGTGGCGACGGCACAAATTAAAGAGATATGTGGTGGTGGTGGGCGGCGACAATACGTGTGGCGGCGATGGTGGTGATGATGATGATAGTGTGGTGCGAAAGAAGGCAATGTGGTGATAGAGGTGGTAGTGACAATGGCAGTGTGGCAAAAAACCACGTGCTAATTGCCATAAATTTGGTGAATCAAATCTCATATACTTATTATTAAAGGGAAAAATTGGCATTTCAAACACCCATTGCCATGCGGGACTTCCATTTTGAATAGCAGTGCTATTTTGGGCATTAATCACATATTCTAGTGCTATTTCCGTACTTCTCCCAATTTCTTATATTGACTTTGGATAAAAATAAAAAATAACTATAATGAATTGATTTTCAATTTTGTTTAATATGATGAATAAAATTAAGATTGATTGGTAAATTACTAGTGAAAAAATATGATGTGATAAGTAAGATAAGAAAAAGTATGTGTAAAAGTAATTTTATAATATAAAGTGCAAGTGTTTTAAGGAAAGAGAAAAAATAAAATAGAAAATGTTTTGAGAAATGGAAGGAGTAATTGTTAGTATTTGTAAACTATGTTTTCAGTTATATTCAAACTAGTATTAATAAACATATACTTATTTTATATATTACATTATATTTATAATTATCACTCCGTATTAACGTAATACAGGTCCCAACATCGGAGTGTGTTTAAATATAGGGCTGTGATTATATGGAAGGAATGAAATCTGTTATGGTGAATTTTTAGGATTTTAATGTTTGAGGCATAAAAAAACGAACGTATCTTGGCGTGGCGTAACGGAATTAACCCCCGTTGTTGCAGCCATGGCGATTTTGTTTCTTATATTGCTTCAAACTTAAAATTGGATTAAAAAATCTGAGCCTCTATTGTAATTATATATATATATATACACACATGTGGTATATAGCTATATATATATATATATATATATATATATACATATATATATATATATCTGTGTGTGTGTGTGTATGTATGTAAAATGTAAAGAAGGAAACACCATTTTTGTT